TATCGTCGGACGCCGACGCCAGTCGCGTTGAGTCGTGCGAGAAGGCCACTGCGTTGACATAATCGCTATGGCCCTCGAGCATCTGCAGACACGCGCCGCTGCTCACATCCCAGATCTTGACGGTGTTGTCGCTGGACGCCGACGCCAGTCGCGTTGAGTCGTGCGAGAAGGCCACTGCGTTGACATAATCGCTATGGCCCTCGAGCGTCTGCAGACACGCGCCGCTGCTCACATCCCAGATCTTGACGGTGTTGTCGCTGGACGCCGACGCTAGCCGCGTTGAGTCGTGCGAGAAGGCCACCGAGCTGACATAACCGCTATGGCCCTCAAGCGTCTGTAGACACGCGCTCCATCCCTCGCTTAGAGTTGGCCTGATACTGATTGCTTCTAGCTCTTCATGCTGGAACAGCTGTCTAATCAGACTACCTGTAGGGCTGAACATGAGTGCGGATGCATAGGTCTGAAGAGGGTAGGCCTCAATTGCCCCTTTGTGGTACATAATAAACCGCCGTGCATCTTGCACAAGCTGAGCAAGTCTCTCTTGTTCATATATCTCCTACTAACGTTAGCATTCAGGCTAAACTGAAGGCATGTACATCTTGTGCGACGCACCTGCATTAGTGACCACAACTTCTCTATCGAGAGAACGCCTTTCTCCATACTCTTACACAGACTAAGCCCCTCTAGCCAGTAGAGATACTTCTCTATAAGAAACTCTTCGACTGCGCTTAGAACTTGCGCATTATCCACCCTATTTTCTAAAGACGCGGGCTTTGAGTCGCATAGATGGTCAATCCAGTAGATACACGGGTACCATGACACTACTAACGGGTCTACCTTAGGTGGTTTGACGTTCTTAATAGGATATCCTGGCGCTTCTAAGCTGTACATGTCTCTGTGCAGTGTTCTAGAAAGAATCCCTAGCGACCTTAAGAGAATTGTCTGATGAACAGTTTCGCTTCCGTCTAGAAAGGCTTCATTATAAGCTTTTTCAAAGAGGAAGTCCTTTGCCGACTGATGCACAAAGTAGACAATGTCTTCGCGCAAAGTGAGAAACGACCCACAGAAGCCAATGACCTCTCGTACCGACTCCAGGTCGTCCAAGTTCTCGAGCTGCTCTACAAGCGCAACGAGTTCAGGGACCGAAACGGGTCGATATAGGATCGCAGTCGAAGCCAGCACCTGGAGGCAGATCTCGGTGCTGTCAGACTCGCTTATCTGGTCTAGCATCCGCTTGTACAAAGAGTCTAGCCCAGGCGGGAATAGAGCTAGCTTCTTTAGCACGTTCCACTTTGGCGTTGTTCTAAGGTCCTGGCACACTAACGCTACCCAGAGGAAGGTATCGTTAGCGTTTGACCTTAGGTGTTGGAGCACGGCGTGTCGGACCTCTGGTTTGTAATGCTTCTCCCGCGCCAACTGATCTACCTTTCGCTGAATGAAGACGTCAACCGCAGCAGCGACCGACTGAGCGTTCAGCTCAAGGCTCAGCTTGACTTTGTCTCCTGCCAGCTCTAGCTGTGCTTCAATGTCTGGCCAGTTACGGCTAGAAACAATCCACTTAACGTGAGAAGACGCAGACGACTGCTTGGCGACAAATTCTAGCAGCTTTGGTAGATTAGTGACGCATTCATCTAGCGCGTCAATGATTAGGTATGTCATTCTTAGGCCTGGATCGTGGAGCACAGCCTCGAAGATCTCTGTTAAAACTACCCAGGCATTTGCGTCTTCGAAGATAGCTTTGCCGGCCTGGTCGTGCTTCTTGCGAACGTGCGATGTAAGCGATGGCTGCTGAGTTAGAAGCATGTGCAATAGGCCTCGCAGCACAGCCGTGGCGCTATTAATGCGCGCGTCGGTCGCTTGGCAGAAGAAGTATGACAGTAGGGTACTTTGGGACATCGAACCCTGCAGCTCGTTGATAATGCCGCAGAGCAGCATCGTCTTGCCTTTACCGGGGTCGCCTTTTATCCATAAGAGTCGGTTGTTCGGCTCCTGCTGCCACTGCTGCCACTGCTGGAAAGTGGTGTTGTCGAGAACCCAGCGGTAGGAGTCTGCTAGCAGTCCGCCCTTTGTATCCTCAATGCGCTTCTTGTCATCAGACGGATCCGTGTAGCGTATGTCTCGAATGCATGTCTGGAGCTTATCAATCTCGTCCTTTAGACGTTTGAATGCGTTAGCTGCCCCTTCGCTGTAAGCTGGCGCTATCTCAACATCAAAAATGCCTAACAATGAGTACCATGCATCTTCCTCGCGTTTAGTCTGCCTGTCGCCTTTCCAGCGTAGCCGATCGTCAACGCTGAACTGGGAAAGAGGAACTCCGTCGAGCGCTTCGTAGGGGATACCAGTGATCTTTTTAACTAATGACTTTAGCGATATCTTATCACCAAGCTTCTTCCACTCTTGAGAGAAGAACTCAACTGTGCTAGGGGCAAGAAGCTCTTGGAGTGTCCAGCCACGCGTGAACCATCGACTTAACCTAAAGGCTGGCTCCCAAGTGAACTCAGTGCACAAACTGTCAGCTTTCCTCTTCTTTGTCGATACGTCTGATAGGTATACATAGCACTTTGTCGCGTTCTGGTACCAGCGGAACATGGACTGGATAGCCAAAGAGAGCTCAGCCTTGTCCGACTTGTCGATGCAGCATGTGTCGACCCAGAAGTACTGCAGACCATCTTGCTGTGCCTGCTCTCCACAGAAGCGAATCTTCTTGTAGCCAGGCTTGTGCATGCCGCCGCCTTCTGCAAGGTCAGCGAAAGTCACCTCCTCTGCATCTGCCCCCCAGGTGTGTGAAAGTATCGCATATTGGGGTATCGCGTTATCGTCGAAGCTGGCGATCGTAAGGCGGCCATCGTCTTCGTACCTTAGAAGACGCATCAACTTAGGTGGGTGCATAGTGGACGCGCGGTGGAAACGAGACGCGAGAGGTTCGATGTGGCAGCCTAGTCAGACGAGGGCGTGATGGCCGTGCCGTGCGCTGTAGAGGCCGACGTAAGAGGAGGGCAATCGATAGCCGTGCAGCTCTAGATGTCTCGATAATAGAACCGCCCTCTCGAATGTGCGAGCTGAGTCCAGCGCGCTGTGTGGTTTTCTTGGTCTGGCGACGGCATCGCACGAGGCCTTGGGAGGAGTAGTTATTGCTTCATACGCATGTAGAACGCCAGCCACAAGGCTGCAGAGTAGCTTCGGCCATGCCAAACGCGTCTTTAGCGTTGCGAGCTTAACAGGGTAGCAAAGACCCGAAGCGCATTGATGTTGCCTAGCCTATACCAATACAGGACGGAAAAGGTGAACCCAAGCGCGCCGTACCGTGCGAGCTTGCCAGTGCTCTAGGGGCGAAGTAATTGCACTAATCACTAGATGACGCAGGTTCGCCTCATGAACGTCTGCACTGCATCGGTCACGACTGTAATCTTTTATTCTATGTTATCTACACTACGCCCAGTTCAGCATACAAATAACTACAACACATGCGAAGCCCAAGTGCGTCCTCTAGTACATGCGCGCCACAGGGACCCTTGGTGACAGTACCGAGGCCCGCGTTGGCGCCAGCCCTTCTCTCGCTCGCGCTACTTTTCGCTTTGGCTCTGTTGCGTCTGCCTCTGACGACGCTTTCGTTCGCTCTCGACCCCGTTTCCCCTTGGCTTTAGTCGCCTCAGCAGCTTCCGTTTCAGCACGCTTCGCACGCGCATCTCGGAGCTCCTCATAGCCCATGACCTTGGCCGTTCCTAGCACAAGTGACTTTGTTGATCGTCGCACTTTGGCTTCGTCATTGACCTGTAGCAGGAGTCGGATGTGGTTCTGCTGAAGGGCCCCTTTGGCGAAAGATAGGTGGGCGGCTTTTGAGAACTTGAGAAGGTGTCTTTGTAGGCTTTGCTTGCTCTTCTCGTCGAGAGCACGGGCATCCTACTCGATGATCAGATTCTGCAGGGACATCAGACCTTCTGCTGACACTGGTGTCACGGGGGTTGGGGGAATTTGCTCTGGAGAACTTGGCCCAATAATAGCTTTATTAGCTGTTGATGCGGTGAAGGGGCCTATAGCCGGTTTAGGCATAGAGTTAAGCACTCTATCTGGGTTGAACGGAAACAAGCCACTTGCCGCAAAGCCGGCCTTAATGTTTTTAGCTGTAAATGCCTTCACTCGTGCAGGGCTAAACAGAGAAGTAAAATGCTCCTTGCCGATCGAGTTAACGCCTCCCCGCTCTAGTCGTTCGACCTGTTCGCGATAGGCTGCCTTCAGCGGAGCAAAGACAGCGACATCGCACGGCTGCAGCTTATGAGAGGTGTGAGAAGGAAGTCGACACAGCACGATGTTGTTTGCGAAACAATACTCAAGGATCTCTAGGGTCTCATGCGTACCAAAGCCATCACAGATTAACACTCGTGGCTTATTATTCGCCCGCTCCTTGGTCTCCGGATCAAAAATCCGCTTTAGCCACTGTAGGCTAACATAAGAGTCAGTGTAGCCGGTAACAGTGCACGCATACTGCCACCCAGGGGTGGGAAACGTAGTCCAGTTACTTCGGTGAGTGGTCGCAGGCCATATGATTAGAGGGTTCAGATACCTACCGTCGGCGCTGATGCACTCGATCGCGGTGACCATCTTACGCTTCACACATGCGCCTCTATAGTTTCGCACGTCGCTCTTACCTACCAGCACTTTGGCTGAGCCGAGCATCGATAACATCACGCCAGTCTCATCCATGTTGTACACGTTTTCTGCTAAGACGGCTAGGTCTTGCAGCAGCCTTCCTATCACCTCAAACCAGTGGGATATCTTCCAATACGTGTTCTTCTCGTGGCGGTTCCAGTCTAGTGCTGTGACCCTTCGCGCTTGCGTGTCTGGATGGCGTTTCTCGAAGGTGCGCGCCCAGTTCTTGTTCGGTGGCTTCAGTGGTCGGGCTCGCTCGGATCGCTGGCGGGCAACGCAGAAGGCGAGGAAGGGTATGAACTTGATCCGCACGGGCTGCCCTAGATCAGACATTTGTAGGAGGAACTTAACTAGCGCGTCCTCTTCCCACGGGCTGAGATACTGTTGGCTCTGAGCCTTCTCTTCTATCGAGCGACGGCCTTGGGCACGGGCATGAAGGGTAGAGCGAGGAACCTCGCCATAGTCTGCAAGAGCACGATAAGAAGTGGGCACGGCAGGCGGAAGACCCTTCGCCAACACTTGACTAGCCTTGTCCATGAGAACTACGGAGCGGAAGACTAGAGCTAGCAGCGAACATGTTGAGGCATCTCCAGACAGCGTAAACGGCATTGGCGGCTGAGCATCTGGCCGTAGAGGCTTCTAGAAAGCCGCCGGCATGCGCCACAGCCATTTTTAGCATTTGAGTGCTATAGGCATAGCGCCGAATTCATTACGACACGGTACACAAATATCTGAGCACGCTTCTGCGGGCACCTGGCATGCCAAGAGACACTAGCGAGTCCTATCGCGCTGGAACGCTTTTGGCGATCATCGTTTTTATCGGCGAAACTGCCGGACTGTAAATTTATAGATTAGAACACCCTTTCGATCTTAAGAATATATTCTTCAAGAACTCTAATTTCTAATAGACCCTCCGAGCTATGCAGAGACTATCTGCATTGCGAACAGACAGGGGGTTGTTGACGAAAGGTCGATCAACAGCGTTGACGAAACGATCGACAGCAAGGGCAACATCGCGAAAATTTGTACCGGAGGTTGATGCGCTTGAATAGAAACAGCTCTCGAAGATTGATACACTGGCTGCAGGTCAACAATCATGCAAATGAGAAATAGCGAGGCTCCGAAGCGAAAACTGTCCCGTTACACCATGCGTCCCGGCACGCTTGGATTGACATTATCTATTTTACAGCTCTTGCTCTCTCAGTGCATCACCCTCCGACGCTAAAAAGCGTGTTGTTGGCTATGCTGTCGCTCATTCTGTCAGTGCCGTTTATCGACTCTCCTCTAATACACCCTTGTTTATTCGCGATAGTATAAAATTCTATATAGCTCGGTATGCTAGGAAGAAAGCTAAGATGGCAAAGATCAAGACTGCACACTTAAAGAGTCGACTTAACGTAAGGAGTGTGGGTCCCGGCAGTTTCTCCGCTCTGGCGACAACATCGTCAAAACGCGACAAGCCGGCCGTGCGACTTTAGCGGCGTTTGACAGCGGTAGCGTGCTGAGATATCTGCGAGGGGTTGCGCGCTGTGGCTGAGAGCTGCGGCTCTCACTCATCGCCTGACCTTAGACAGCTCTTATTCCCGGCCGTATAGGCAGCCGCCCCCGTCGCATAGAGCCAGGCGAGACGCTACAACGATAACCTTCATAGATTAGTTAGCTATTTTGCTGGCACCTTACCTACATATGCACTCTTCTGCCATGAGTTTGCAAGGCAAACACTGCCTCAGCGCAAATGGTGAGGGGAGGCAGTGCAGGACGCTAGGCGCTTAATGCAGCCAGCAGCATCTTCAGTCCGGTTGTGTGCACTGCCTCACCAGGCTGCCTTCTCTGCTTCATCGTAAAGATGCCATTCTACTCCCGCTAACATTCTGCTCTCACTCATCTACCACAAGTTGTTCATGCCTCTAGTTCTTTAGACTAAAGTCCGAGCTGCAAGCGCAATGCGGCTCCTCCATTTAGACGCACCGGGCAGACTGATCCTGACAGACTTTCGCGGCAAGCCGATCCCGCCCTACGCTATTCTATCGCACCGATGGGGCGACTCTGAGATTCTTATTGAAGACATATTTAATGGAAACTACAAAAAGAAAGAGGAAGGCTACCAGAAGCTACGGTTCTGTGCTGAACAAGCAGCTCAGGACGGGCTGCAGTACTTCTGGATTGACACATGCTGCATCGACAGATGGAACAACAGTGAGCGCTCTAAGGCGATCAACTCGATGTTTCAGTGGTACAAGAATGCGGTACGATGCTACGTTTTCTTGTCAGATGTGTCGGCGTCGACCTCGACCTCGACCTCGACAGGGTCTATCTTATGCAGGGACTGGAACGTATCGCTTCGGCGGAGCAAGTGGTTCACTCGCGGATGGACGCTGCAGGAGCTGATAGCGCCAGCATCTGTGGAGTTCTTTTCGTGCGAAGGGCAACGCATAGGCGACAAAGCCTCTCTCGACCAACTACTGCACAGCATCACCGGGATTCCGCTTGCAGCGCTGCGCAACCATCCTCTCAACCAGTTCAGCACATCTGAGCGCATGCGATGGGTTAGCGGTCGCGAAACGACCGAGACAGAAGATATGGTATACTGCCTGCTTGGACTTCTTGGCGTCTCTATGCCTGCAACCTATGGCGAAGGAAGGGAGAGTGCGTTGGAAAGACTACAGGCTGAAGTGGAGAGAGCCGGCCGCGCACCGTCGATTATTCCGTTCGCGCGCAACAAGTCTTTTGTGGGTCGCGAACTACAGCTCGCTAAACTAGAAGCGAAGCTCTTCAGCAACACACAGACTACCTCGACGCTTGCAATAGTCGGGCCTGGCGGAACAGGTAAATCGCAGCTCGCGCTCGAGGTTGCACACAGAACACTAGAGAAATACAAGCATTGTTCGGTCTTCTGGATCGATGCGAGCGGCAAAGACAGTCTCGACCAGTCCTATACTAGTGTTGCACAGAAGCTCGGCGTTCCTGGTTATGACGGTGATCAGGCAGACATAGAGCAGATTGTGAGACGTTGCATAGCAAAGCTGAGTACGCAGCAGTGTTTGCTAATCTTCGACAACGTCGAGAGCACAACTGTCCAGCATGGTGGCTCGCCAACGGCAGAAGCTACAGGCTTGGCCGACTTTCTGCCGCACTCTAAGCTGTGTTCTGTTATCTTCACAACAACAGAAAGCGACACGGCTAAGACGCTTGCTCCACAAAATATAGTAGCGCTGGGTGAGCTGGCGTCAGACACGGCGCTGAGAATGTTACAATCCCGTTTGACGACGCCGCTCTCCGATGCTGAGCAGCTGGGAGCCATACACTTGCTAAGAGAACTATCGTACCTGCCTCTAGCAGTGTCGCAAGCGGCAGCGTGCATAAACGCAAGCAACATAACAATACAGCAGTATCAAGCACGACTATACGACCACGACCAAGCAGCTCTTAAGTACAGCAATGACTTGCGTGAAGGCGAGCAGGGAGAGTCTGGTCTAAGAAAGGCTGTAGCTGCTACACTATCTCTTTCCATAGGTCAAGTCCGGCAGAGCAACGCCATTGCTGTAGAGCAGCTTTACGTTGCTGCGTGCGTAGACCGAAAGGATATTCCGCTCGATATGCTCCAGGCAGCTTCGCCGCAGGCCCGTGTAGATGCAATTATGATACTTGACAGGTATGCGCTTATTACAAGACGACCTGCTGAGTCAGCATTTGACATGCATCGATTGGTGCACCAATCCTTACGAGAGCAGCTGCAGATACAGGGACGGCTTCACGAATGCACTCAACGCACAGTTACGCAGCTACTTCAGGTGTTTCCAAACAGCGACCACAGTAATAGAAGCAAATGGAGGCGACTACTACCGCACGCTCAATATGCACTGTCGCATAGTGAGAAGAACGATGACGAGGAGAGAACAAATCTTACAGAAGATTGCGCTAGAGCTCTGCAGAGTGATGGACAATACAAGAGAGCTGAAGAGCTTTATATGCAAGTGATGGAGTCGAGGAGAAGAGTACTAGGTAGCAAGCACCCCAACACGCTCACCAGCGTCAACAACCTTGGGTCGGTGCTAGAGAGGCAGGGCAAGTACGAAGAGGCAGAAGCGATGCATCGACGAGCGCTGGAAGCAAGAGAGGAGGTGCTTGGGCGCGAGCACCCCGACACGCTTTCTAGCGTGTACTGCCTTGCTCACATGCTTGCGACGCTCTGTGACTACAAGGAATCTCTTAATCTGTACAACAGGGCGTGTGATGGGTACAGCGTTGTCCTTGGAGAGCACCACTCTACTACCCGAGCATGTCGCCAACACCATAGCGAAGTGCTTTTGTCGTGTAAGCAGTCTTGACTAGCAAGTTTCAGATAGAGAGGTCGAAGCATAGGAGAAGCCAAGCGACTAGTATTTAAGTAACTATCTAACTTAGCTCGATGCATGGCTTTGTGCAAGAGCAAGTAAACCTGCCTTCCTCTTTTACCTTATTAGTGTATTTAGCAGCATAGCAAGTTTGTTTCGGTTAAAGTAACTATAGTTATTATTATACCAAAGTACTTAGTAGCTTCGCATAATAAGGGTTGCGCGCACTGGAGATTGGGAACTCAAGAATATGCTATGATTAGTTACTTGTAGCGTCGGGAATAATAGCAGCCCGAAATATCACTTCCAGCGCTACAACCCCCAGCCACAGTGCGCAGTAAGAGTTGCAGACATCTCAGCACGCTACTGTAGCTGAAAGCTCGCTTAAGACGCACGGCCGGGCAGCTGCGTTGTGACGATTCTACCTTTCGCGCGGAGAAATTGCCGGACTGCACACTCCATGCCTTAAATTGACTTTCTAGGGCGAGAGTCTTCATCTTCGCCTTCTTAGCTCGCTCTCTAACCCGCCGAGCTCTTGGCGAATATATGTAGTCGCAAACGAGCAGGGGGTTCTTAGAGAGGGTTGGTCGACAGCACTAACAAAAAGAGCGATAGCATAGTTAGCAACGCGTTCTCTAATGTCGGATAGGGATGTAGTAGGAGGACCAGTGCTAGAGTATATATGTACATTGAACCGGCTAATTTACATATATCGTGTGAGCATGCCGGGCGTCCGGAACAAAAAGTGTCCCGTTACACCGGGCGTCCCGGCACGTGAGGATTGACATTATCTCTGGAGATATTAATTGTTGTTGTCTCGATAATCAGTTTGCAATCCTCAGTTTAGTCTTATCCCACTCTCTCTTATTGACCTCATCATATAGAGTATTCATATAGCGGAAAAAGTGATTGTTGGGAGTGCTTCTTTGATACATAATGGAACTCACTTCTGTCCAGCTCGCACGCAGAAGAGAAAGGAACCGAAAGAGTCAGCGGAAATCGCGCCAAAAAGTGAAAGATCAGATCGATGCTCTCAAACGCGAGGTTCGGAACCAACTGTTCAATATTAGACTATCTCATTAACAACTTCAGATTAGAGAGCTTAAGCTCGACAATATATCGCTGCAGGGGCGGCTACTACACGCGTTAGGAGCCATGGAAGGACTCGGGAAGGGTACGAGTCCATAAAATAATTCCGTTTTTGAGCAGAGAATACATAGCTGACTATATCTATAGCTTCATTAGTAACTAAGGCAAAACTTGCGGCCCTAACATATACTGAATGTTATACGCCATCCATTTCAAGTAATTCGTCAACACCTCATCACCAATCATCAACCCCCCCTCAGTCGTTGACTTCAAATACCGTGCAGGTATCGACAGCACCAAATCTGCACTACAACTCGTCAAGTAGATACAGCAAGCCACATTTAAGTGATACGCATGACTCCTATAATACAAGTGACTGTTCATATGTAAATAGGGTATGTGAAAGTAAAGCTGAGTCTGAAAATAGTTGGGAGTATAGCTCTCTGCATCTATCACCAGACGTTACTGAGAGAGCTAGCCTTCTGCTTGAGGATTCAGAAACATAAGGAATAAGATAGACTTGAAAATTGGGTTTGAGAAAGTTGATAACTATAGGGCCTAAGTATTTACACATCTTCCAAATCTACATGAACAATATCAAGAAATGAATTTCGTGTATGACAACACTATGGCCGTGGATCTAATTATAACGGTTTGAGCGATAACTAGATACTTATTAACTAGTGTTAGTCGAAACTAGCACTTTTGCCTAAATGCTTGCACGTTCTCGTAGCCTGAAACCCACACCATTTGATATTATCATTTGCATATTTTCTAGTCTTATGAACTCCTACGTGCTTTTTTCCTAGGTCGACATGTATCGTCATTAAGGCTGGAGGTGCCGGTACTATCCGCCCATCTAACGAGTTTGCCGCTTATATGCAAAGTATTCTGAGTAGTTCGTTTGAATGCTTCTTGGAGACAAGATACCAATATCTCTTTCTTATCTTGTAAATGTCTCATCTGCTTATCTACGTCTTTCAGCTCGTCAAAGAGACCTGCTATTTCGGTACCACTCTCCTCAGGTTTGTACCCTATATAATTTCTAAGTATTGTTTGACCCATAGAGAGAATAAAATTACCAGCATTAGTGTAGCAGACTCCTTTTTTTGTCTCGTGCGAGGTGCATTCACCAGGCTGTTCCTCGCTTTTCTTATCATTGGACTGCTTGCTTGCTTGTGCTAGTTCTGCTAGCCCTGAAGCTGGATAATCGATATTATCTCTAAATAACAGACTGCTTTGATATTTCTGGCGTAATCAGTAATAGCCGCTGATTGTGCGTTATCAGTGCATACCGGATACAATGTATCGTCTGGAATAGTTTCTTGAGAACCCATCATTCCCTTGACTTTCGAGAATGTACGGGCTGCGGATTGGAAGAAGAATGATGTTCTTAGGAGCACTGAAAGCCCACTTATATACTAGTAGTCCTCGCTAGCCTGTTTGAGATGTCGCAGATTGCAAGCAATGGCACTCCAAGTCTCCACTGGGTTTAATAGTCCTATGCAACGTGACGTACATACACTATCTGCACACAAAGGAGAGTGTAACGCATATAGTCGAGGGGGCGAAATAATGAAGGATGGGGATCAGTCGCCGAACTATTGGTGGACTCGTTGATGACCGTCACCAAGACTTTAAGGCACTATACAAGGCAGGCAAAGTGAACTATTCGCTTAAGGACCAGGAAAAGTTCCTTAGACTGTAAAACATCGTACTAGGCGTCAGCGTGAGCTGGGGCCTTGAAGAAGGCGCCATGAAGTCAGCCCAAGATGTCTACCAGAATGTCCGTGACGCCACTCCCATCATGACGACACCAAACAGCAATCGGGAGGCCCACAGCAAGAGACGACATGCATCTCGCGATCAACTTAAGCGAGAAGCTATATCCCCATCTGCTGGCCGCTCGCGTGATGCAGAGGTCGATATTGATAACGTCGATATGGCCACTCTGATTGGCGTATCTACGATCACGAGGGAGGATATAAAGAAGAGCACGCAGATACTCGACATAACTATTAGCCCCTGAGATCTTCTTCCTCCATTTGCCGTTCGCCGTTTGCCGTTTGCCTTGGGTGCGGAGACGCGGATCGTTGCTCGCGCGCTACACTCCTCTTCCTCCTCCATCTACCTATCTACTCTACACCTACTACAAGCTCTTAACCTACTCACCATGATAACACCCGAGAGCTGCGTCGCCACGTACGTGGCTGCTAGCCAGTTGCCAGAGGTAATTATTGTGTCCCGCTTCCACGCTGTGCGCACGCTCTTTCTAACAGACAACTTGCCTAGGTTGAACAGCTTGTCGGCCAACCACCACTACACCCAGGCCAGGGCTATCGTCTGCGAAAGTGCCATGACTATGGCCTACCACTTCCAGAACACTATCGCCTCCTTACAACCTACTTCCCTGAGGTCGCAGTCCCTGTTGGATTGTGTATCTTCCATCCACAGTCGCGGCCAAAGTTCCCGCCCGATGGCTCATGGCAGGCTGTCATGTCTACAGATGGCTTGAAAGAATTCGTCGACGCGAACCCAGATCTTCCTATTGTCGTCAAAGGCACCGAACAGCCCCACTACCTTATCGCCGAGCTCTTACGCGACCCGAGCAGTAAGGAGGCCAAGTATGGGCTCACTGCTGAGGGATACCCCATTATTCAGCTCTACACGATTGGTTTCAACGAGTATCCTTACGCGTTTGATCCAGCCACACATGTCATCAACGGAGTCCAATACACTGGCGCTGAGCTTCTCTCGTGGGAGCTTGCTACGTTCATTTACCGATATTGCAAGACGCCCGAAAACGAGCCAGTAGTGACGTACGAGCGCATTTACAAGAACATTTACGAACGCCTGCGCAGGCGTGCCAACAACAGGGTTCGTCCTGACTAGAGTAGGGTACAGAATACCACAGGGGCATCTGAATAGGGAACCGTCGCGATGGCGGACGTTGGGTTTCAAAGTGTCAACTCTCTGTACATAGTGCAATAAGAAGTCCATGGTGCACTTGGGCTGTTTACTCACGTCTACCTCCCGCGTCTCTCGCCTGGATATAAGGATAAAGTCATGCTATAAGGCAAGTGGGCAAGAACAGTACGTGTAAAACTCAACATATAGAGAGGAGAAGGGGGGCGTGGAGGAGAGGAGGAGTAAATGGTTGTGCTTTACGTCCTCAACTGATGGCTCCTAGATATAAACAGTTTGCTTGGCTTTAGAAAGCGCGGCGATGACAGCTTCTTCACCTGATCCAGCAGCCTTTGTCCCTCGCTCCCAGACACAAAGTTGGGAAGTTGGTTGTATAGTCCGGGTTTAGGATACCGTTATGGGTGATGATGCTATTGTGAGCAGTTGCGGTCATTGGTCTCTTTTTGAGAGCCTGCTGGGCTACCTTGATTAGGTGAGACGTGTACTTCGAGCTGAATTTGGAATTTTCTATGTAGATACATTGGTCAGCAGGAACTTGGAAGCGGAGATGAACCTAAACCTTTCTCTGCTGCATCTTTTATGCATTTAACACAGTCCCTTCATTCATTGTGCTCAGCCAGTCTTGTACTCTTCTCCAACCTTCTTGAATACCTCTCAATACCAAGTCTCGAACACCCTGCGCTGCGTGAAACCAATGTCTTATTACACGTTGTCGATCGGAATATATGGGGATGGAGAAGACCCAAATCACCGCTCCCATTGGGGTTTTCTAATTTTCAGTCCTGGAAACGAAGTTGGAAACCTCCTGCACGTACAGTTAATCTCTCTTGGAGGATTGATTTACCAATTCGAAACTCGAAGTGGTCACCCACTGGAAAGCCAGACTTGTGAAGGAAGGGTACTTCTAGGTTACGTTGAATCGATAAAGTACAATCAGGTGGTGAAGATCATATCAGAAGAACCAGCACCACGCAACAACAAAGTAGATGCACTACTGCAATAACTGAACATGACTCTGATTAATGCAGGATCGATGTCAAGACTGGACTCTCGATTGTGTGATCGCACTCGAAGCTGAGGAGTTGCTCCCTGCTGGTACCTCGGATTGGGTGAATGGGATCGTTGGAAAGCCCTCTAAAGATGTTGCAGCCGCAGTAGGTGAGCGATGGACTGCAGCCAGAAGGTAGAGATGGAGCCATTGCGAAGGGCCAGATTAAACAAAGCTCATAGTCCACTATATCGAACGAGCTCACGCTCAAGCTCTAATAACAAGGCATACGTGTCATCTGGTATCTTTGGAAGTATCTGATCGATCATGGAAGACCATATATGATTCCGAGCGCGGGACTTTGCTTCGAAGTATTCACGTTCGCGTATACTGAACCCTGAAACTCCCATGTCCAGGATAGCAACCACATTGAGTTGGTCATCAACGAGTATGTTGTCTGGAGTGAGATCTCCATGGCAAAATACAGCGCATCCATCCCCAAGGCGCTGGACTCTTTCTATTAGGTGCGCATCATTTGCATCGAATCTTCCATAAGGCCGGGAATTTCGAAGTGCATCAACAAGACCGTCAAGGTATTCTTTACGCGACCTAAATGGGCCATATTCACGGTCTGGCATGTTTGCGGCAGGCAAATGTTGAAAAAAGACATCTCGACATGGTTTGAAGCCCATAGACCCAAAAAAGTCCCCACGTAAATCCATCCAGCTCTGGACAAATCCTGAAAGTTGTGCAGTCACTTTTTCCACTTGTGCTTCGTCAAAGGTGTTCAGAACGTCATGCAGCGGTGTTCCAATAACCCTAGACATGAAGATGTTGCCAAAGCCATCCCTCTCGTAAGCGCCGAATACTTCTGGAACAGGCACGTTCGTTGACGAAGCGACAAACCGCAAAGCTTCTGCCTCTGCGACCTTTACATTGGGCCCTCTTTTGAGTATGCGGTCGGAGTCTTGCAGGTGCCAAATCGATTTGTCAATCTTGTGCACAGCAATATTTTTAGCTTTCGTCATATCAACGACAGTCGTGAGGTCGGTGTCGAAGATAATGGGCATAGCAGGCTTTTCAGGAAACGGGGCATCACTGACAGGGCTATTGTTAGCACGAAGGGAAATGTGGCAGAGACAAAGATAAGCTTACTACGGAGGAGGAGGAGGAGGAGGAGGAGGAGGTGGTGGTGGACAAATTGGGGCCATGACAGAGCTTGTTTGCAAGAGGCAAAGTTGGGATGTTATGGTGTTGCAACAATCGAGCGACGCGCCACTCAAAGAAGGATGAATACCCAAGGGCGGGCGCGACGTGCCTAAGACGCAGAACAAGGACGACGCACAGGCCATCTTAGGCGGCAGTGTGACGCTCGGAAGAGTACACCCTATTCGATATTAGCGACTGTTGGTGCTCATTTCAGATTTCAGAGCTCGAATACTCGAGCGCTGTTAGCAATGACTTATCTACTTACATGTCAGAGTCAGTAGGCGTGAGGCTAAGAAACGCGAAGGCGCGGGAATGGCATTTACTGAATACTGGGCATCGGTCAGGCTTGCGCTACATTCCTGATTACTCCATTCAGCCGCTGCGAAGCCAAGCCAAAGTATCACGCAAGGCTGACGGCTGACAAAGATGCACGATACCACTATAGCTGTTGTGCGGGATCTTAGCGAGCGAGTTTACTTCAGCCCCGCAGACCTTGGCCATGCATCCAGTCAACTCTCTACCTGTACTTATTCTCTGCTTGACACAGTTTAGAGATTATGACTGCTATCCACACAGGCTATGCTGATATTAGTTCTCGTACAAAACCTTACTGCCACCGTTGCGACCGAACATTCGATACCGGCCGAGCAAGAGACCAGCATTACGATGCCTCGGCTCGTCACCACATTTGCGATGTCTGCCAGTTCGACGGCTCCTCCTATGATGAGTTAGTACAACACAATCGCAGCACGCTTCATAGGATTATGTGCGATGGTTGTGACGATGATGGGTGGTGGATACCGGATAGCCAAGCGTACAAGGACCATTTGAGGAATGATAATGTGTGTACGACATGCGAGCGTCATTTCGATAACTTCAACAACCTGCGACATGTAGGTATCACCGTGTTTGAACGCACTACTCGTACCCCGATTTAGTCCTCGCTCTAATTACTAATAGCACAAGCTGGTGCACCTGAAGCCTTCCGTTGAATGCTATGGTTGCACTCGGTCCTTCACTACTTATTCCGGGATGATAATTCATCTAGAGTCTGGGACGTGTACGTCTGGTATTGATGTTCTGGACTTGAACAAGTCAGCTGCAATGTGTTATCAATGGCAGAAGTTCCTGGACGAGGAATACCGTGACGACATCCTTAGCTGTTATGATTTGGAGGAAGAGTACGATGGCGCGGTTTATCCGTTCAGGTGTCCAGAATGCGACACTACGTTTTCGAAACTTTCAGGACTCTTCCAGCATGTAGGTAGTGGGTCTTGCGAACAGATGCTAAACGGCGGGCCGATAGCCAAGCTTGTGAAGTGGTTATCAAACAGACATGCCTAGTAAGCAGATTTGGAAGAGCTATAGCAAGGCCATATTTCAATCAAATGACGTTGTTTGTATTGTACCAGCTACGCTTATTGAGACTATGCACTACATAAAGTAGAGTGGAAAACTTACTTAGCATTGATCCTCCTAGAGGGGCTTAGAAAGCGCTTCCACTTGGCTCAACGGTTTGGCTCATTGCATCGCTACAGCCACAATGTGGAATATCAAAGCAGTAATACTAGCTAGCTAGACGAACAGAGTAAGTGCTACCAAAACTCATTCCTTTGAACAATCACATATTCTTGTCGCATTGTCATGCAGTAATCATCATGAAAGTTCGGCGGAGAACATATAATAACGCCTCTAACCAGTGTATCTCTAGCCAAACTGATGTACGAATCGATACATAGCCCCTGAATAGAGTTTCCCTCGCAACCTTTCTTCCAACATTGCACTATCTAAAAGTTATTCTCGTCTACCAATCTGCATGGAAATGAGTGGCGCAGTCTTCTCATCCACTCGCTTATTGGCACAATAATTTGACGCCATATCCGATTGATATAGAAAGGGAGATAACATGATAGCTGTATAAAAGTACATGCCTGGTAACGATTAGATAACGAGATGAAGGTCAAAGGAGACTCACCATAAAAATGCCTTGTCGCATCTTTGTGGAAGTGCTTCTACCAGCAAGTGAGAAACTAGAGGTGAAGATTGCACTACAAAATTGGCTAGATGCTGCAGCAGCATTTGTAATGACGAATGCATGCAATAATCGCATGTATTCTTCGTCTCCATCTCCGGTCTCGGATCCTGAGTTCTTGTGGATCTCTAGTTGCTTGTGTGAGAGTGCCGAAGAGAAAAGGGATGCAGCAGCGAAACGAGTTAGCAGTGCCGACTCGTAAGCAGAAGATTTTGTTTTGCCCCTACTTGCATTTAGACAACCTCGATACGAATTGAGTTCACCTACGTAACAGCGGAAGCAATGTCCAGTATAGTCAAGACCGCCACCAGATGTACCACCCATATGCTCCAGGGAGGAGAGATGAAGATCTGGAGCATTCGGACGAGCTGAAGTTCCTATTAGTTGGAGACGAACTGTCAAGGTAGGCAGACTATCTTACGTTGTTGCTAGTAAGAAGTTGGAGATTACACATAATGATTGCGTCAAGCCAGGAGTACATCTCTGCTGGATGGGGTTTGGTCGCAATTGCAATGAATCCAGTGATTCCTAGGCCTACTGAACTGGTACCGACAATAACTCCCATAATCTTTTCCCAACGGTAGTCGTACTCAGAGACCTGAACTTCTGCTCTGAACAGGTTTCTGATATCGAGGTAAGTGAGCGTGCTGCTAAGTATAGGTCCAACTGAAAAGCAAATCGCAAGGCTGACTGATACGAAAGGTGCCATAGTGACAAGAGTTGGTGCAGTACTGAATATGGGGGGCTCGCACCTTTTGTACCTGCTCTACATCGTGATTCAGTTCCGTATAGTGGAGCTCTGTAGAGTGAAACTGAGAGAGAGCTTCAGGCATAGCCATAAAAAACTCGATAAACCTGCAGTATTCGGCCTTATTAGCCAGGACGATAGGACCTGGAAGTAGTCGTGATGGCTGCAGGTGCCCGCATCATATCGTACATGCAGCCGCACAGCCTCCGTCAAGGCCTCCAGTGGATGCTATCATGTGCCCTGGAAGCCCATCTATTCTCTCTGCATGGTCTTTCCTAAGATTACCAGGACGTTTGAGATTTAGATTGACCGAAGTTCGTGATATTAGAGAAATTGGCAAGTTCCTAAGAGTAGAACGTGTTCGAATGCGGCAGGATGTTTCTAGGAACACAGCGTTTCTAGAAGCAGAGCGTTTCTAGCAGCAATTAGTTTTCAGGAGCAGAGCGTTTCTAGCAGCAATTAGTTTTCAGGAGCAGAGCGTTTCTAGCAGCAATTAGTTTTCAGGAGCAGAGCGTTTCTAGCAGCAATTAGTTTTCAGAAGCAGGGTGTTTGTAGGAGCAGGGTATTTGTAGGAGCAAGGTGTTTGCAGGAGCAGGGTGTTTGTAGGAGCAGGGTTTTTGTATGAGCAATTAGTTTTTAGAAGCAGGATGTTTTTAGGAACGCTGTGCTCCTAGAAACACCCCGTCGCTAGAAACGTCCTGTGCTGATCTGAGACACTCAATTTTTCCAAGGTACGCATGGATAGTTAGAGAAGTATCTTTCCGCAAGCCCCTGCAAATACCAGCACATTTCGACTACCACGCAGCACATATGAATAGTTGGAGAAGTATCCTTCCGCAAACCCCTGCCAATGCCAGCATATCTTAGCTACTACACTGAAATCACCCTCATAGCCTTATCCGGCCGATTTACCAAATGCCATTCGCCCTTCAGCTCAGCTATTGCCTTTTCATTCTCCTGACTGTATCCGTCAAGTCTACTTGCCATTTGTGCTGCAAGTGGATAGGTCAAGGGCACGGCCCCTTCCATAATAGATTTAACTAGAGGATCCACCGTTCGACTAGCACTGACGCCTTTTGGGTACGCATGTAATAGGTACGTTAGAAGGATCATTAGTCCTTGGTCTGGTAACTTCTTAGGATCATTTCTAGAGCTTTATTAGAAGATTTAGTAAATAACATAATTATGATATATGTTTCTCACATATGAATCTCTAGAATATGGCTGCAAGTCAAAATTATCCCAACTCCAAGCTGAGATGTCACATATGACCATCTCTTGCCAATTCTCGTATGCCATTTGAGACTGTTCTCGCGTTTTCGTTTAGCGTGTGCAGTGAGGTTCTTATACTGCGACCCATATATTCTTTCCAAGATGACGGACTTTGCTATGCTAGCTAAACCCTTGCCTGAAGAAAGACGAGTGGGTGAGCTAGAGTTATGTCTAAGCTCGATGAGTTTCTGCTCATATTGATGATATAATAGAACCCTTGCCATTCTTAGTTTGATAGGTTCGACTAATGAGTCAGCTGAGATTGTTTCAGCACACTGGAGGCTTTTGAATATCTTTTCTGTCAAGGACATGCCAGTCACTGGATTGCCGGTAGGAAGACGAGACCATGGATCTTCTGCATCCCAACTGCGGCAGAAACTATTGATGAAATCTTTTGCGTCTTCTCGCAGAAACGAATCACCAATCTCAACCACATACTGGATCTCTTCGTATGAGGACCTATAGAGGCGGCTCAGCTGGTCGTACGAGTAAAGCCAATGAGTCACTATTGCGTCATCTGGTAATGTAAATTCCGTCTCCTGTACTGGGCTTGTACTCCAGTCAGACGATAGCACGGATGGAGGTACGGAAGGCATCCTTGACTGAGTAGCTAAGTGTAGGGAAGGGACATCATTTAGGATAGGCTCTGGCCCTCTGTCTTCCGCAGTCTCGAAATGTAATGTTTCAGTTGCATCTAAAGGATTTTCTAATCCTTCTGTGGCCGTAGATTCTTCTGGTGTTATGTATCGTGATATGTGTTCTACGCTGTTGCTCCAACGCGGCGCCTTTCCATCAACAAAAGACGCTCGACTGATTTCGTTATAGACAGAACTATGCTGACTTGCATCAGCTATTCTAGCAGCTATGAGGTGTGAATCGAGAATTCTAGGATAGAACTGGATTCTTTGAGCATCAGATAGAGCAGTTTCTATTGCTTCGTTCGAGTCCTCACGAGAGGGATGTTCAAATACTAGCTTATGAGGGGAAAGCTTAGCCTGGATATAATCAAGATGATTGCCTTGTATAGTTGCGAGCAAGGTTAGAAACGCTTTGCCTAGATGGATGAACTAAGAGTGTTAGTCGGGCCTGTCTGGACCATGATAACGCACATCTTCTCCCGTTTCTTCCATCCTAGTCCAGCCATAGCTCAGTAGAGCCTCGTTTCCATCAGGACTCTACTAAATATCAGAAACGATAGCCCAAAACGACAAGGGTACATGCCAGTATAAGAGAGCGCATGATATGTAAAAGCATAGGGCGTATCACTACGCACAATATAGGAAGTAGTACTGTGTTTACGAAAAACGATATGTGAAACTGTGCAGCACATTTGGAGAGGTAGAAGGGAAAGACGCTAAGTTTATTATCACTCTAATATTACTGACGACAGCAATTTTTAACCCACGTTCAGTCAACGTCATTTTGTGAACAGCCAATTTCTGTCCTTGAGTGACGAAAACGACCAATTGCAGCGCAAGGATCATAGAGGAGTTGTCGCACACGTAGATGCGTGATTGTGTGGGAAAAATAATTATGCGTGTATTTTGAGCAACTTTTTCCACCTTACTTTCATATGTATATAGTCGTTGCAGTAGCTCGTTATATATTTTTAATTGTTGCTATGGTTCGGTTACAATTCCTGCCTTCCCATTCTTGCATATACTACGATAGGTCGCTATAGCTATGACGTTCTGCAATAGCCGTATGCGAATCCTTGCAGCGGCTGCGATGGGAGTCCGCAATCCTTTCAATCCGATTGGTCACTCTTTAGATATAGACGGATGTCAATTAAATATGCGGCCACCTCTATAAGTAGCTCAAGCCAACCTGCAAAATACGTGCAACCCAACTTTCGAAGATTTGATACTCGCGAGACTACTATCTAAGCAACATGGCAATCAGGTGGAGACCTTCTAAACCTATTCGAACGTTCATTGATGAACACGACTATATATATTTCAAAGACAGAAATCATTATTGCGAACGCAGAGTCTTTAATGATAAAGGCCGATTTAGCGATCAAATACCTAAAGACAACGAGCGCGAGATATACGACGTTGAGGGGACCTTAGAGGTTCAAAGGCAGCTCTTGTTCAAGCTAGCGGCGCTTGAAAATCAAGTGACTGGAGAACCTGAAAACAGTGTGCACCGAAGGCGTGTTGAGGCTCTTAGAGCAGACACGGTGCAAGCGATACAAAAGACTTGGAATCAAAGTAGTCGGTCTACTGCCTATCGAAAATCACTTTATTTGATGCTTTGACGCAAGATTGAATGTAGGTTTAATACATATAAAGAAAAGCAGCGTCAGGTGTGATGATGCGTATATATTGAATACTTAATCTCTCGTTATCTCTCTAGTTTTACATAATGTTGTTAGTTATATCGGTGAAGCTCAAGCCGGATCAAATATTTGACTCCCCATATATGCATCGTCTCCTACTATCATTGATGAGCTAGCTTTATTGTGCTATCTGATAGGATGATTTGTCTTATCTAGGTTGTATAGCTACGATGTTGACGACTTAGGAACTGGAATTATTTTTTATGATTTGTACAATGATCTAACTAGTCGCAGAAGATAAGATTATAGTCCTGATGAAAGAGCATTAGCGTCGCGAGCACAAGAAAAATAAACTCCGTTGCTTGCCCCGCTAGCCATAGATCGTTACTAGGTCAAAGTGACTCAGATTTGTATGTTACCGCGATACAAAGATGCCAAGTCATAGTGCCAGTAATATAGGGAAAAAGGAAACGATCATGAGGAGCAGAAGCTTGTACATAAACACCCCCATCAGGTTATCTTTCCAGTTTGATGTAGCAGAAAAAGAGACAGTTGGATCGTTGGGCACGGTGAGATTCCGGGTCATATTGGTTCTGTTGTCCCATAAAGGTCTTGGCAGGCGGAGAGACGGGCTGGTTGGAAAGAGGGTAGCTTTTGAACTTGCCACAGCTATGGTGCTTGTCATGTTCATAATGGAGATTGCTGTTGTCTTCTTGCAGGTTTCTCCAGTAACATTCGTTGTAATACCAATCTCTTGTCGCCCAAACAATGCATTTGACAGCCTGACAAGTACTACAAAGTACAGATATCTCATTGCGGAAGGTGGTATCTTCACCTATGATACTGGGACTGCTCTCCCAATATAAGTGACTGATTGGACAGGACAATGTACATGGCCATTCGAATTCATAAGCAATGCATCTTTTGGTGCCATGATAAAGTTGTTGGCCGACAGGTTTTTCACGCACTCCTCGCATGTACAAATAGGATCACGTCCAGGCAGCATAGAAGACACGGTACACGAAAAACCTTCTTAGAGAATCTTGTTATGGATTCAATCGTTTCTAAAGTGCACATCGAGCTAGCCAAGCTTGCAAGTGATTATGCAAATTCCAAGAAGGAAAACGTTACCCTCAGTCTCATCTCAGACTTCCGGCGAGCTCTATTCTCAATTCTAGACGAAGAAATTCGTATTAGGGACCTTGAACAATCCAGTGAGCTAAAAGAAGAAATGATCGAACTATTTAAAGAGGAAAAACATCCAGCGAAGCCCGCATGGCCATACCTAAATCAGTTGGATAAGTACGATCGATGCTCCGCTGAGAGGGGCTGTAAGTTTAAGTACGGAGCTGCGCTTTACAAGGCTTCATGCGAGGAACACTATGTGTGCACAAAACATAAGTCAAGTTCTTGCCTTGTGAAACACAAAAAGACATCGATTCAAAGCGACCAATCTGAACACCACGCGACTAGCACAGAGGAAGGTACTGAAAGTCCGCTCCAAGAACAGCGATTGAGTGCGGATCTGGAAGGGAACACGTCTAAGAACGAAAGAGCAGACAAAATAAGTATTGGAGAGAAAATGACAGGTAAAGGAACCTCGAAAGATGGGAGATTAACTGATATTGAAGAAGAGGACGAAGAGGACGAAGAGGACGAAGAGGACGAAGAGGACGAAGAGGAAGAAGAGGAAGAAGAGGAAGAAGAGGAAGAAGAGGAAGAAGAGGAAGAAGGTGATGGTGATGGTGATGGTGATGATGATAACGACGAAGATGAAGACGAAAAAGAGAAGACCAAAAAAGTAGAAGATGCAAGTCCTAAAAAGGAACAAGCCCCTTCAGCTGATCAGGTAAAAGGAAAATACCAGCCGACTAACAAGGGCAAAAAGGATATAACAACTCACGGCATAACGAAGCAGAAAACTCCAAAAATCAACAATGGGGACTTTAGTGGGAAAGATGCCAAAAAAGACGAACAACCTCCGAAATTCAAGGTAGAGGATGTGCAATACTTTTCCGACGACTTAAGCTATGAAGGTGATAGTCTCCTAAGCGAGATTCAAGTCTGCCAAGTGCGAACAAACTCTGGAAAGCCCATCTGGGTTCCAATGGATGACTATATACAGCTTAAAGATAAGTATGTTAAGCAGCAGTCTGAGAAGGAGGACGAATGCGACGATGGAATTGTAAATGGAGAAGATATGAATCGGCAGAACGCGGACGTCGGAAGATAGATATGACAACATGAAGTGAGAACATAGCATGCACTACCACTTTTGGTTTTCTTGCAGCTTTGATAGCTAGAGACATGGTCATATTACACTATCAGCCATCTTGGAGTCGTTATTGGTATCTAAGGATGGCCTATTTCGATGTCTACTGACTACTTCATCTCTACAACCTATCTTCATGACGCAAAATCATATCGGCTCTTCTTATTAGTTATATTGGGATAGTAAATTTTAGAATTACAATGTCATTTTGCATGGTTTGACATTCATAAGGTGCATCAGAGAGTGTGGAGGAAGCCCCCTCGCTGTCCCTGGGTGCCGCATATGGCGTCTAGGACGGCCCGCGTCCAGACTGATCCTGACTTCGTTGCAAAGTCGTCATCCATGCGATCTGGGAGTTGCAACCCATGTAGTTTGCCTCAATTGGTCTGAGGTTTTCCAGGACATCTTCTTCTAGGAAATTAAGATCCTTGTTAGAGTCCACTGATGATGAAACGTGAGCCTTGTTAAGTGCTTGCCTATCGCAATCCGCTTCATTAGGCGATGACGGCCTTAACCGTTTATTCCATGACTTGGTGTGTACGGATGGCGGTAGTGGAGGCGTGTCATCTTCAAATTCTTTGAGTACATCATCAATTCTTTTTGCATTCTCGTCATTGAGGGCGCCACGGATGTCCTTGAGCAGTGTAGAGAGAACTTCAATCTTGTGAGCGGCCCTGTTCAAGTCAGAAGTGTGCTCGAGAGATGCTCAGGTCAACTCACTCTCTTAGCCGGTCTCGGCGTGACAGATGATAGATGCAATCCTCGTCATACTTCGTGCAGTTGGTGCAGCGCGGTCTCGTGCCAGAGCATTTCAGTTCTACACATGTCAGCTCGCACAATATGTCCACGAAAAGCAACTAGTCGGCGCGATCACATGGACAGAATTCGATATTATGCATACTGCGCCTGCGGCATCTATTGCACTATACGTCTGTTTCAGCGCCATCCTCATTCGTACAAGTACAATACTTACTGCCTGACTGACTCTCTCGGAACTAATACGGGGAGACTTCGAAAAAACAGTCTGCTGATTAGGCCGCTTGAGCTGAGGGATGGCTACTTTGGGACCAAAGCCGCTGCTGCTCTCCATTGATGGCAAGCACCTTGAGAGGTGGGAAGATACTGGGGCGAATATGAAAACTGGTACGTGAAAGACGACCTGTGAGGATGATGTCTTGCAGTCTATGGTTGCAGTCAACAAATTCGAGGGTGCAGCGCTCACAACTTCTTATGACTAATTCTTGCGAAAGGATGACGTAACTGGCAAGTGGCAATAAAAGTGCCACAGTTTGATCCAGCTAGATAAGCATTCAACTAGTAATCTCGAGACGTCTGTCGCGCTCTGTTTGTATGTTATCGCGACCTAAAAAATGGGAGGATTTTAACCCTACTCCGCGCTGCTTCCGATATAAGTTGGTTTTCGAGTGTGCTGAAGTGCTTGGCAAAGCGCCGCACAGCCGCACAGCCACAGTTCTAGCATCCGCAGCGATAGATTACAGCTAAGCTACTTTAAGCTGGATACCTGGATTGTCTTCATTTAGTTAGCACTTCTATTAGACAGCCTTGCAGTTGCTAGTTGTAGACGCACAATGATCTCTCAAGTCACGTGATGTCTGCCCCGCGGAGATCATTACCTTCTCACGTGGCTGCTCGACAGTCTCTTATCATGCGGCTTTTGCCAGGAGAGATCCTTAGCTTGTTACTTGTAATATTAGTCAAGTATGCATTAACCCCGTGTATCACGGAGCTGCGGTGTTTTACTGATGTGTGCAGCTTACTGATGTGTATTATAGACTATATCATAGTGGTCTGATTGTGAAATAGGACAACACAGAACCTGAGATATCTTCATCGTGTAAGACTCCTATTACCTGTGTGATAGCCTTCTATCTTCGCCTAGACTCTCTTTGCTCTAGGATCTCTATCCGTGTTGTCGTTACTCTGCTATAGCTCAACCTACGACCACTGCTCAGCATCCACTACCATTAAGTAGTCAAGGTTTCTACAACATTAACTAGATACACATATTTGAAGAGCTACAGAACAACGCCAAGACCTATAACAGAGAGTGTTTCGGAAATGCAACCACCAGCGCATATAGAATTTGCTGCGTGGCCGGAAGAATACAAAGAGTGGGGGAAGTGGGCTTTACTCTCCGAACAAATAGGCCAGTATTGGGAAAGTTTGGGACAACACGGATTAGCGGAGACGGCGCACCGAAAAGCATCGCTATTAAGTACAGAGATACTAGGGCCTGAGCATCTCTTTACGCTGACGAGTATGAACAACTTAGCGTTGGTACTTAATAGCCAGGGAAAGTGGAAGGAGGCTGAGGCAATAAACCAGCAAACACTAGCGCGATATGAGAAGGTGCTCGGGACTGAGCATCCCTCTACGCTAACAAGTATGAATAACTTAGCAGGGGTTCTAAGTAGCCAGAAAAAGTATAAGGAGGCTGAAGAAATGAACTGGCAAACACTAGTGCTGCGAGAGAAAGCGCTAGGGCCTAAACATCCAGACACGCTAACTAGTATGGGCAATTTAGCGTGGGTGCTAAGTAGCCAAAATAAGTACAAAGAGGCTGAGGCAATAAACCGGCAGACGTTGGCGCTGCGAGAGAAGGTATTAGGGCCTGAGCATTTAGACACGCTAGCTAGTGTCTATTGCCTTGCCTATTTTCTTGCTAAGCAGCGTTATATGAACGAGTCATTACGGCTATATCAGAGGGCGGCTACCGGATACAGCCTCATCCTTGGAGAAGGCCATCCTACTACATTGGCTTGCTGCCAGCATCACGCTGAGGTATGTTCGTTGCAGGAGCAGCAGCTTGCAGGAGCGTCCATGAGGAAGATGTCAGGACTATCACACGGGCTAGCCAAGATCATACCCAGGAGCTTCATGCATTAAAGATGGTTCAATGGTCGTTTTTCTTATATGTACACCAAAAATCATGTAACTACCGTCAACTATATAACCTAAAGTTGCCAACTAGAGATGTTAATGTAGCTACTACAACAAGATATAATCAACGGAAATATTTCTCAGAACTGAGAATAATTACAACTGAATTTCAGACAATACGAACACAAGAGGATTGATGTTTTGATTTTGCTCTATAAAAGTGATAATAGTCTTAATTCGAACTCTATACAAGCATCACGCAATGCATGTTAACTGCTTATTATTGTTTTTAGAAATAGCAACACCAATCTGTTAAGCATTTATCGCCTTCCACTTGGTAAACTGTGCTGGGTAGAGAAGCTGCTGCTGTTCAGTCAGGTCTTCGTACGCGACATCCGTCGCTAAGTCGAAGAGCTCTAAGAAGTCTGCATGAAACTGTTCTTTTAACGACTTTCCAGAATCTGTTCTAGCAGAACTCTGTTTAGTTCGCGTTTCTTGTGGGGTTAGAGAAGGACGTGGCGAGGTTGGCCGTTTTACAGGCCTTGGACTTGCTGCTAATTCAGTATTACTGTATCGCGATCCTTTCCGGCGCGTTGTCGTTTTTCTTTCACGAGATAGTTCAAGAAGTGGTCCAGGTCTTCCTGACACTCCGCCCATATGCTTCTCCTCAAACCTGTTCTCAAGCCTTACTGCAATATTGTGAAGCGTAACAGACTTTTGCCAGTCGTCATTTCCTTCCATAACAAGTTTCATCGTTGACCTAGTTTCATGGCTGTAACCAGTCGTATTTTCAAGTCCATACGACTCATATAGTGAGGGGTTTAGATATACGAAGCAACGGGTATGAGGCCGTCTTCCTACAAAATCAGGAGCTAGCACGTCGACCTCGGCGCTATGCCCGACTCCCATTTTAGAGTCCCAGTACACGACCAGAACCTGAACTTCGCTAAGTATGTTCATAGGAAGCGCTTTCTTTTTGTCTCTGTGTATCTGCACAATTCTCTCAACAATGCGGTTGCTACGCTGGGTAACATCCCTTGTCCCCAGGTATGGAGAACCTTCTGGCAGGATCGACTCAAAACGAGCGCTGTAAGCATCTGCAGATCCATATCTGATACAGCAGCGATTTAGAGAATTCCTCGTGATATGACCAAAGACTTCTTTTTTAAGATGCTGTAACGAGGTCTCTGTATGTCTCCAGTTGATGTCGACATCCCATGCCATATCGAGATCGTCCACAAGCCTACTATATTCTTGCTTAACATTGCGATTCTCCGAGAACTCTGGAGAAGGTTTCGCGTGCGCCTTTCCATAGTCCATTGCGCTGCCTGGAGCAGTTTGTTTTGTCGCTTCCTGTCCTCCTATCTCCTGCCCTGTCATTCCTTGTGGCTCCAAATTTTCCCTTGTCGTACTGTCGCCAACGGCAGCAGAATCCGGATCTGCCTTGATGGTAGGCACTTTGTTTGTTTGCGCCATAGTCCTATTGTATCCAGCTAGTGCGTTTTCTATGTCTTCTAATCTTTTCTCATCATCACTAGTAAACAAATCATGTTCTTGTGCTACTCGTAGCTGCTCACGTTCTGCTTCTAGCTTTTTGTATTGTTCATCGTGATGACCTATAGCTGCTTTCTTCTGAGCTCGTGTCTTTGGCTCGCTGCTCTGAGGGGTTTTGCCAGTTTTGCCAACTTTGTCATCTTTGCTGGCTTTCTTAACAGGAGCCATGATGATGCGGTTGTGTGACAAAATGTAAACATCTACCATAACGCTTGTCTTAAATAATTTGCAGAATCATGTATAGAAAATTAAAGAGAATGCATCAATAAATTTACGCACCCCGGCACTTTTTGGACGTATGTATCTCGCTTGATAACTTGTAACTGATATTACACTGGACTATATGCGCACAACTAATATGACTCTTACTCTTTACACTGATGCAGTAACTGACCAGAGAATATTTCTTCTTGAGAATACTCAGGCATAGGTGGCCTGGATAGATGACCAGGCAAAGAGGGACTTTTTCTAGCTGGTGACGCTTTTCCGGATGGTGGCTTTTCTACGATGAAATCCTCTCGAGTCTTTACGATAGGCATGGGGTACATCGATTTCTGTACTATTAGAAAAAGATTAAATGTAATATAGTAACTTACAAGCTGCGCAGAAGATGGTGGCCAATCTGATCGTTTTGGATCCGAATTATAGATATATAGCTGTCCATTGTTCTTCTGAATGCATAACCAGATCCCAACTTTATACCGATCACTTATCTCATGACCACGACGAATAAAATTGTTCTTTCTTTTGCGGAAAGACTCTTGTTGTAATCTTTTCGAGGCCATAACAATCTTGTTATAAAGCTAGGTGAGGGATACTGGGCTACTTATTTATATGCGACAAGTACGCACTGACCACTTGCATAGTATATTAGTGGACATAGGCCTTTGCGTTTAGTATACCCAGTTATGGATCGCGTAACCAGCCCTCCTACTTGGTATTTCATCCTATCTACAGGACTTGTAGCATTCCTTATTCTATGTTTTGGCGGTTATCCGATACTTCGATGGATGGCTGCGCTCGTAACGGACGCCATTCTCAAGTATCTAGTCTACTCGACAGCGAGCTTCTTTAACTTGTCAGAGTCCCGCATTTCAGGAATAGATGCGTTGTTTACTTTGCTGTATATTGCCGCTAACGGCATTTGCATTGGATGGGGTAGAGAAGCTGCTCATGAACTTAGTCGCCGATCTGCCTCGATGCTTATAACGAATCTCATTCTCCTATTTCCCGGTACAAGCATAGCAGCCGACCTATTGCATATCTCATTAAGGACCTATAATCGAATTCACAGCGTAGTTGGCATGGTAGTGCTGATTGAAGGGTCTATCCATGCTGGAAAAGAACTGAACGCACACGGATGGGTTAGCGATATGGGCACGATAAGCGGGACGGCGGTATGTGCATATGCTTTGGTGTCGGTAATGTATTCTTATGCACTCAGATGTTCGGATGCCTTGGGTTACTGAGTGCTGCTTCTCTACCTGTCGTCCGCCGTCGTGCGTACGAGATTTTTCGGATAGTCCACTTGGGCTGCTCTACATCTATATGCATCTTGCTGTGGCTACATGCTTCCAAAATAAATACAACAGGCCGAGTACAGATTATTATAGGGACCTGTATGTGGGGCGCTACCTGGATCCACAGGAGTGCCCTCCTTGTCTATCGTAATTTCTCAGTAAGCCAACCCCATACTAGCATTATTGTCGAGAACATTCACAATAGTCTTCAAGTCAAAGTGAAGCTCCCTAGGCCTTGGACAATCAAGCCTGGCCAATATGTATACCTTACCACACTAAGACCTGGATTCTTCTCAATCTTTCAGCGCCACCCGTTTATGGTGATCCGTTCGGAATCAGAGAACTATAACTTTCAGCTATATATTCAGCCTCAGATGGGCTTTACAAATCGATTGCTGGCGCAGACCCTCGGGGGAACGACAGAGCTAAGCGCTTTAGTAGAAGGGCCTTACGGAAATGGATTTGACCTAAGAGATTTTGGCACAGTAGTTCTGTTTGCCAGCGGGATTGGAATTGCCGGGCACCTTGCATATGTTCAAAGTCTTATATATGACTATCGGAAGTTGAAGACGAAGACTAGAGATCTTCTACTAGTCTGGCAGGTAGACAACAAGTACCAACTGGACTTAGTATGGGGTGTAATGAATAACATATTGAGGAGAGACGATCTTCCAATAGCTACTAACCTCCATGATATGCGCAATCAATGGGAAAGCGGAAAGCGAGGCCGAGGTCTAGGCAGTAACGTTACCAACGAAAGTCCGGGTGTACGGCCTATACCGCATGGAGAGAATGTAAGTTTTACGGTGAAGCGCTTCAAGATTGTTTAAAGCTTAAACTTTCTAGATTATAGACGTCTATATCTACGGGAACTACAAGATATTGGATGAAGCAGGACACGCAGTACCATGCAAGCGGGCAGGCAGCCGCATTGCGGAGATGGAGGGACAGCCAGATGTGCAGCAAATCATTAGCGACGTACTCAGGACTGGAGTGGGAAGACTGGCGATCTGCGGTAAGCTTTGTGGCTAACTACTGCTACAACAAGTAACCCAAATAGTATGCGCACATCGTCAAATAAGAAACCAGGTGCGAGAGTTTGCTGCTCGTGCTAGCCGTAAGCAAGTAAGGTATGTCGAGTTCGACTTCCAACCCTTTGACTCAAGAAAGTATAAAAGGAGGAGGAAGTCTTTGCCAATCAAGTGCCGTGGAATCCAAGTACCTTAGATAGTCCATAATCAATCTCAAATCCACCCATCCTTCGACACAGTAGTGTTCTTAGAGCTGTTCAATGCTTTGTAAGGCGCGACAAAAGCGTCAAATGCCTCTCCTTGGTCGTCGCGAAGCTGATCTACCGCGTCTACAAAGGCTTGAGAAAGACCAAGAATCTCGCCAAAAGCCATTTCATCAAGTAAGCCAATAATGCATGCGTGGAGTAGATCTTGCGAGATGTTGGTAATCTTTTGTTTAAATTTTTCTGTGTGACGATAGCATTCTCGGTAGAATGTAAGCTCCAGTCTAAGTTCACCGTTTCGGCGGTTGAGGAAATCGATGTACTGGACCGCATCCCTGGATTGCTTGGACTTCTGCATACATTGGGGTTCCATTTCTATCGCAATCGTCTGGCCTCCATAGCATCTGATAATGTGATCAATTTCATTCGCCTCGAGAGGCCTTCTAATAGGCAACTTCCTGACAGACGGATCCATAGTCAACGTTGAGGATGTCTGACAGATGACAGTGTATTAGTTAGGGAATTTAAAAGTGCGGTGAACCTTGCTTTATATAGGTTTGATTACCACCTGGAATTCCTCGTGTTCACTAAAATTAACTTTTGACATGGATTTCAGACGATTGACTGTCTTTCCAAGAACGGGATATGGCTTGGACCATTCCAACAACGCAAACGACAAGGATAGTGCTCCTCTACCCAATGATGTGGAGCGAAAGTTCCACGATGATACCGGGTCGTTAGACCTCGGGCTTCCTAAGATTTCTGCAACACTTCATGCGACTCGCAAAATCTTCACGCCAGTCGATAGGAATCCTGAACTTTGCTACCATTATATACACAGCGTGGATCCAGAAGGGAGAAGACCCTTCTGTCTAGCCCAGCAAAGTGTTTCAGACCCAGAAAGACACGCTTATCGTGTCGTAATGATACGACGTAGTTCTGAGAAGCTAGTCGTTGGATTAGAAAAACCCAACCCGAACATACTTAATATTTTATCCGTTTTCCGGTTTCAAGGTTCCTTGTTTACCGTGTTTGAGAGACCTGGACTTCCATTATCTGAGATTGCTGTGTCTCATTCCCCACAGATAGGATTAGCTGAGGTCAAGACAATAAGTGCCGAGGTAAATTGGGGCAAGTGAAGTAGAACTGTTCGCGTAGTAACAGATGATTAGGCAATCTCAGGTATTTGTGCTCTCAGCGCTGCAGGCTTTGATTGTTCTTCAATACAGGTAGAAGACATCACGATCTCGGCAAGCGATGGGCAAGTCAAAGTAGGTAAGATATGCCATGCTACTATTATGATCTTTTACATACTAAACACCCTTAAGCATACGATCGGTCAACAGTGCTGAAAAGTATCGAAAACAATGCTAGTGCTTTTGGAACCATGCTTGAAGATCTCACGTCTCGCGTTCCAAGCCCTTGGATCCTCCAGCAGAGTGATGGCCTTCTCACATTCATCCGACATGCGGGTCAAATGACATACCAAGAGTTGAGAGAGGTATGTGAAGCCTTCTCACAAACGCTGTGATATTTATGATGTACAGGATGTATTTCTAGAAGGCTGTTTCCCTGCAGCATCTCTTATTCCTTTGGTGCTAAATGCACAAATCATAGTAATTCCAGTCGAACACGTAGCAGATGCAAGAATTACCGAGTTGAGGATCGGAGAGGACTGAAATTGAAGTGTTTGTAAAGTTACTTATTAGTGCATGAAGATGTGAAAGGAAAAATCAGTTCTTTCCAACTGACATCTTTCCTCTTCGTGGTTTCCTTCGTTGCCCATCTTCAACGGCGAGTTTTAAAGCCTTGTTCAGGCTAGCTATCTCATCCTCATTGTTTCTGACTTGTTGGGAAAGAGTCTCGTTCATTTTAGAGAGTTCCAGGTTGCGCTGCTGGAAATCCACATTTTGATCCATAACATACTTCAGCTTGGCGAAGTGTTCGTCTTCCGGATGCTGGCTAGAGATTGCCTTTATGAGCAGAGCATTCTTCGCCGACTCCAAAATCATCCCACTAATTGTTTGACCATTCTGCAACTCTCCCACCTCATTCCCAGCCAATTTGGCTCGATAGCTGTTCACCAGGCCTTCAGCTCGCTGAGAGACTTCATCAGCAAATTCTTTTGACTTCTCTGCAGATTGATGGAGGTCCATGTTCAGCCCTTCACAGCTCTTGTGATCGTCCAGCAGCTTACTATGACATTCTTGGAGCTCCATGAAACCCTGGTTTAAGAGTTCATTGGAATCGCGTTCTCGTTGTAGCTCTTGCTCTGCTATGGCCATTTGGCGCCGCATGTTACCGACTTCATTTTGGCTCATCTGGAGGTTGCGATATATACTCTGGAGCTGCGCTTGGCCATGATAATATAGATTGCACATGCCTAATGCAGCTTGGACACAACATCTTTGGTGCTGAGTTTCTGTGATTCCCTGCGCAGTGAAGTTAATGAAGAGCACTTAAACAGGACAGTGAGCGCACCTCCTGTGTCTGTACTGATGGTGTCGGGTATTGCTGTGGCTGACTCATGGTTGCAGTCCTGCGAGAACTCTTTTTCGATAAACGAAGTACGAAGGCGTCGACTAGAATAAATACTGCATGAATATGTATATGCGACAATGATATTAGAATATAGAATGTGTAGGCAGCTGTTATCGTGTTTGCGACCACAAAAAGAAGACGCGATACTGCATTACTTAGAGGGCTGATTCACATCAACGACCGGTGTTTCGAATCTGACGCGCTTCTACCCTAACCCGGTAAGCCTTCTGTTCCTCGCCCATGTAGCCATGTATAAGTATGACTCAACAAGTAAAGCCTTCCAATGAGTAGACGAATTCTGGGTCCACAGTGAGTTCTACTTCCGCCGGGTCGGAACGGTTCGGCCGGAAAGGTATGCACTAGTAGAGATAGGGAATAGTCGATGGTACACAGTTGTAATCCGAAAAGTGATTCATGCATAATAGTATCTCTTACCAATTTTATATCACTTTCTGTCCTAGCTTTGCCTTTGATGACAAGCGCCGGCTATATTCGGAAGCAGGAGACGTTTCTGCAGCTAAAAATATGCTAGCATATACTTGTTGCTGGTGGCTTTGTTGTGCTGTCCCTCCGGCTATAAGGGCTTGCACCCTTGGCTGGGTAAAACTCTGGCTAGCACTCAACATGGCTTCCAGCACCCTAGACACATCGTTCTCTCAACAGCCAGTGCTATCTTCATCTCCAGATAAAACCGTCACTCAAGGGTCAGTCGGTACATTTAACCACTGCCTACCACCTATCTCGGAATACGAATGGGATTTCGGTTGGGAGGAAAATACATTTCCCTTAGCAGATCCGTACGAGGGATTCGAGCAGGTTCCAGCCACTGCTGTTGAGTCTATTGCCCACGACACCACCCTACGCCAGAAACATGAAGACCTGGCTGAATTAGGAAATAAAGTGCAAAAGCTACGACATGATATTTCGGAGCTGCACGACATGTTCTGTAAACGGCTAGATAGCATAGAGAAAAGTATTGCGGTAGCTGATAGCTATGTTAAACATCTGGTGCCTTGGTCGGTCGAGGTCCACGAAAAGTACTCACAGCTACTAGCAATAGCTGCAAAGCAAACGGAGTAAGCAAGAAATCGTGTAGCATAGTCTGATCGATAGAGACATCTAAATATTGTACCTTTCTTGTATTATCTGTCACGACAGTCTAGTATGTGCCAACTTGTTATAAGTACGTTTTACTTTTGAGAATGAACTGCATCTTGCCAGCTACTTGGTTGATTTCAATAACTCAACTGAGTGAACAGCGTAACTGATGATAAGCCAATCGAGATTCATTACAGGCTATCTGACCATGTCAGGCTAGCCGTTCCAGCGGCAGTGACCTGGATATCCTTTCCCCATGATTACATGGTTCCAGTCGATCTGCAACGTGCTTGTTCATATCGCCTCCGTTCACTAATTCCGTCTTGATTGAAACGACTCAAGGCTTTGCAGTCTGCTCGTCTCTGTCGAAATACTGATGACATTGCCTGGAGATAATGAATGAGAACTGCTATTCCTTCTCTGATTTCCATATCCCAGCATGGATTTTGAATTTTGACAAGTCAATAAATGATAGAGGGGAGTCGCGAGATGTGCTTTTGAGTAAGGGTCTCTTTGAATGAAAAATAGGGTTCGTTCAATCGCTATGTAGACCGCGCTTAAATACTGTTTGACCTCCCTCACGTTCTACTCTAGGCAAAATCTTTTAGAGGGCTTAGTTTTCAAAGGTACAGGTCTTTTTCTTTTCTTGCTGTCGTCGCAATGACAAACACTTCTACCCACATAACCCACGGCTTGATGATCCGGTCTGCCAAAATCAGCATCTAGCAGCTGTAGCCTTGTAAACTGCGCTAAGGACTGTGGAAATCCACTGATCCTGTGCTGGACAAGATTGCTGAACTTTAAATAAATAGATATGCGCTGGTCAACATAGTAAGCTTTGAACCGAACGGTCTTGCAGTAATATCCACAAGTAGCGCAAATACTAGACCTATCGATGCGGCCCAAGCTGGTCCCGTCTTCGGTGGTAAATGCAGCATTTGGATATTCTTCTAGAATTCGCTCAACTAGCGCTCGGGTATCTGGACTGCGGCAGCGGATAGAGCCTGAGCAAACTATTAACCGCATCCTCGTGACCGGCTTCACCAAGAGTTCGAAGAAGAAGGAGTTAGCAAAAAGTGCCTGTATAAGACTGGAGAAATCATGGCTCTCGAGAAAGTTCGAAGCTAAGTCTTCTAGCTCTGCCATCTTGCTGACATCATCGAGCAGAGGCTCCTTGCTTAAGGGTATGTTGATGCGGAAGTATTTGTGCCTCTCGTTTCTGGGAACTCCATTCAAATGTTCCTCCCAGCTGCGTTGAGCATCTAAAACAGCATTGAAAAGTCGGAACAAGCGTGGAAAGAAGCGGTCGCGGAAGCCTAGTCTTCTTGAAATGACCTCGGGCGATTCTGGATCACGAGCGAAGCCTGTTCCTATCGAAACAATCATGTCAGGTGCAGTATCCCAGATGGCTTTGGACTCCCACTCAGCCGGGTCGATGGGATTATTGTGCTTCCCCGCACCACCATCTTGTAGGAATCCTAACCCTCGAATGAACTTTGCCGGAAAATATGATGGGGCAGCAGAAGTTGCCCGTGCTCTAGTTAGAGTGAGCTTTTGGAATTCGCAGAAGAAAATAAAAACCTACACTTCGCAGATGAGAGCTTCATCCTCTACGCGAGAAGCCCGATGGTGTTCGTAACCTAAAGCCATGGATTAGTCTCACCCATCAATCTAGGAAGCGGGCTTCTACCTTGCCTAACTCCTACTCCGTTATAGTTTGAAAGAATGCAGAGTCTCGAACTGGACACGGTCATGGTAGTAACCGCTACTTTTGGTCCCGAAATGTGCTCTTCGGATTCTAAGAAGCCAAAAAATGTAGTGTCTGACCCAAAAACCTCTTTCACGCATGCTTCCATCTCGCCAGCTCCGTACATGCTGTCCGTTAGTAAAGCAGTCATAAAGCCGTAGAGTTTTGCTAATATGCTATTTCCGAATGATTGGCTAGGTGAGAAGACACGTTTCGACAGCTTTTTGAAGGTAGCAATGCATTCCGCCATGTTCCGGCGCAAAAGGAACATGAGCACGATTAGGCCACCTGCATTTGACCATCAGTAACTAGCCACTACTAAGTGCAAATATGGGGATGATACTTACCTGTGCTTGTACCTAATGTCAAGTCAAACTCGTCATATATAGGGTATGGGAGCTTTCGATGTTGATCAAGCGCATGTAATATCCTTAGCGTGGATATTCCACGAATACCACCTCCGTCAAGGACGAGCAAACGGCTTCCTGCTGTCGGTGGCTTGAGACGGATTGTTAGGTTACCTTTGGATTGGCACAAAATGCACTGAGAGATGCAGTATGCGTATTCCATGTGGGATAACTTGAATCCAAGCCTGCAAGTGCAGGAATCGCACAGCGCATGTCCACAGCGCAGAATGTGCTCGGGCTTCCGAAACAGACAATAAAGACATAGCTGAGTACTGTACATAGTTGCCCAATTAATAGCGATGTTCTGGAGATTTATTTTGTGTAGCTCCACTGCCGTAAGTGTCTCTTCGTCAACTTTGGAACAAAATTGACTAAAGAGGGCTCTCAACCTTGTACACAAAGCGCTTGGCGAGATGTCCTGATATGGAGACACTGATGAAAAGGCTTTTTCGCAATGTGTTTGGTACAGCAATCCAAAAACGACCGATGGTTTAAAGCCTGCTTGCTGAGATGAAAACATGGTAGCTAGAGTGTGAAGTACTTACGATGCATGCCTGGCGGAAGACTGTCAAGCATGATTGCAGAAGCCATGTATTCCAACGTAGCTTCTTGGCTCATCTGGTTGGTGATGCACAGCCTTAAAAACTTCTGCAAATAGAGCCAGAGATGGTCTTCTACTGGATTGCATTGGCGTGTGGCGAAGATAAAGTTGAATGGTGTGGAGATGCATGATGCAGTGTGTCCTAATGCGGACTCGAAAAAGACGTTGAGATGATAGGCTGAGTAGAGCATCCTAGAGACACTTCTACTTTTCCTTACTATCTCCACGCCGGAAAGTATGGCTCTTTCTAGAGCGAAAAACCGGGAAGATGCAGCCTTGCATCGAAGAGCCGGCAGTACTACGCGTTGAATACTACCAAACGTGGGCAGATCTGAATAGCCTCTGTGCCTGTAGGTGCTGCTAGTGATGAGAATAATCCGAGGCTTCCAGCCCCTTGAAAGTCTAGCATGACTGGTACATCGTTGCAGGAATTGGATACCTTCCTCACGAGTGGAGAAATCATCGAGGAAAAGACAAACAACGTCGATGAACGATAGTAGTAACCTTCCGACGATAATTTCCACAAAAAAATCGGTTTCGCTTGCCGGTGACTCATGTGACAGCCACCTGATCTTATGGAGAGGACGTCCATTTTGCTTCCGCAATGGTTTTTGCTTGCTGCACGCGTTGTCTAGATCTACACTTGCAACCAGAAGCGGATGCTTATTATCTAGCGTTGAATTATCTGCTTCTAGTTGCGCAATACCACGTGATCTTGCATTGGCACGCCCTGGTAATAGCGCTTGGATTGCAGATTCTTTTTCGCGCTTGCCGATCAACAAGACAGTTGAGGGGAAATGGGCATGTGGATTGTAAAGGCTAGCGATGGCGCGTTGCAACGCCCCGCCACACATCAAGAACCAATCAGTTCCAGTCTGAAAGCCGTAAAGCCAGTCTGAACTGTTCCGAGCAGACATGTCTGTACAATAGAGATATAACAGAGCCTATGTACACGCTGTCCCAAGATTTGTCCATATAAATACATTTGGGAGAGAAGCAGCTTCTTGCTAAACGCACTTTTGGGGTGGGCATCAACTGTAATAATATATTTATACATACCTCGAATCTGTCAGAAATTTCACCAAAGAGACCACAACATGTGTGCAAAGTTCGAAAGGTTTCGGTATTACTTGGGTACTGCACAAATAAAAGCATTGAACCTATGCTACAGTGCACCAACTACAGATTTAGATGACTGCGAAGGTTGCTGTATATCCGACTTGCAACATAATCTGCCGGCGCTTATTGGGTTGTCCGATTACCAGGATTGTTTAACCAGAGCAAACATCACTACAGACACATTATATGCTGTCGGACTATCTCCGAAACTTACTCTTCCGAAGGATGTCGAGTTACCATGCCTTCACGGAAGGTTTCGGTTAGAGGCTGTAAAACAAGAGGGGTCGCAGAGTCAAGACAATTGGTGGCTCGTTGATCTTTACACTTCAGGTAACGACACAATCTTCTTGTTCACATGTGCCTGCTAAATAGTCAGCACAGATACTCCCTCAACTACGTTAACCCAGATTCGTCAATTCTATAGACGGCATGCGACTTCCTGTGACGGAGAAAAGTTTCTCCACATTCGGTTCTACAAACGGGAGAAAAACTATGCAGCTGCTTCAAAATGGGAAAGATTATTAGGAACCAAGACAAAAAATATGAAACAAGTGTTGCGGAATGAATGGCTTCGCGATTGTCTTGAGAAACTAGAGCCCTTTCGCTCTCTTTGGATGGGTTTCCAGCTCGGTTCCTTCCCACTTATCTTGAGCTGGCGATGCGCGCAGGTATGACTTCCCAAAATCTAAAGTATATTACATTGCTTAGCTATCCAGGAGATTGAATGCTACCTTGAGAAAATGTATAGAATCTGGTACACAATTACAGGTGGCGAGACTTACTTATGCGACGAATACACAGTTGAAAAACTTGGAGGACTTGCACCTTTGTGGAGTGCTCATGACCGCTCCCTGATCGAGAGCTTGTTTGCCGCAGGGCATATATTTCCTCGCGTACGCGATCCAGCTGTACGCGCTCAGATCTCTCAGAAGGTTCTCACTGTTGAAGGATTCGTCCTAACGTTCCAGACCTTCTTCAAACAAGTCAAGATACTAGGACCTATCATGCACCCTTTGAGAGAGTTGTTTCCTGCAAGTGATTTCTACCCTTCAAGGGGCGAATTCAGCCTAGACTCCAGACATCTTCCCTCAGTAAGAGATATCCTGCTTCAGCGTTGGCGCGAGCGGCCCGAACCAAATAAGCAGCAATATGTGTTACAATACAACGAAATTGATGACCGCTCTGTTGAGTGTAGTGATCCTGGTTTGTATTCGTACTGGCAACTTTGCTTGTATTTGCTTCGCCATTCGCAAGGCCATCAGGGCTTCCCAAAAACACAATACCGGGCAGAGCCGTCTGAGCGTCCTGCATGGGTGGTTCGACTTGGCCAATTTGCGCGCAGGCTTGGGTTTGAGTCTGAGCAGATATCGTTGCTCTGCAATCAAGACCCCAATCTCTCCCAGATCCGTATCCATTTGCTCGAAGAAAGACCTAGTACCTTTTTCTCTGCACCCGCAGACAAGTTCGATGCAGAAGCCCATTCACGCCAAAGAGGTCAAGCGATCTTTGATTATCGCCCGCCTACTGTTACTCCTTTGATGACAACCGATAGTGCGACTGTTATACGAGTGCCCAGGACCCATCCCGAACTATTTCTTCCCACGATATGGAGTGCGCTTACGCAGCAGCCGCGCTACGCTTTGACGGAATATGGAGCGCTTGTGTTGATCTGCTTGTCTTTCTTTGAGGGGTTTGGATCCAACTCTGTCGCCAATGTTGGCGAGGGCCCTCAGCCAGTTCCATCGCTTTTGCGTTCATCATCTGTATACTCAGTGCCCGCATATCCTGATTCTCACCGGGCTAGTATCACATTCTGGCATTTGCCTCAAAGGCGGGACATGAGTCCACTTGCTGAGTACATTTGTGATACAACTATCAAGGATATTGAGAAAGTAGTGAACAACATTCGCGCGCAGGGTCAAGCCCCTTTATTCGCTTTAGTGGATAGCGATGGGCGACTCAGGCTTTGTGACCCCTCGCAGATTTTGTATCGCCGTAAACGATCTAAGCAACCGAAAGATGTTTACTATATATATCGCGAGGAAAACTGCAAGATTTGGATAATGAAAAAGCTCAACAGTTACCGAAAATAGCCTTTATCGCCTTGTATGTAGTATCCGGGCTATTTGAGGCTAAGAAAGGTGACGACGACAACTTCTTTCTTATTGGTATAGATCATCGTTTCCCCGCTCTTATTGAATTCGTTTTTTGAGCCGAAATTTGACCGATCTATCGTATTGGGATGAGGTTTTCACTAATTGTGGCACGGTATAGAGGGTTCACCTCGGGATATGTCCCCATGCTCTTGGATAGCACCCTTGCAAGTTGTTGTGGCACAGCATCAGCATACAGGTATTAAACGTGGCAGAATGTTCTATAGCTGCAAGTGATGTTTGTGCAGGACGCTGTGCGTGCCAAGTGACAAGTTCCTATGCATCGGTCGATAGTCCCAATCACAATGGACAAGAACAAGCAGCGAGTAAAACACGCGTGCAACCGGTGCCGGTTTAAGAAAACAAAGGTAACAATGCTCCTTATCAGACTAAGCAGGACGCTGATATTAGAACTGTGCGACGGGGAGCGTGTTTGCTCTAGGTGTCGAGCCGAGGATTCTTTATGTGATTATAGCAATGATACGGTCCAAGTGCGGAAAAGAGACTCACCGTAAGCGTCTCTAGAAAGATAAACTGGCTATTACTTTAGACTCACTCGTCTTCTAGGGTAGCGCTCCTTGAAGCGCAGAACAGACAACTACGAGACGCAGTTCAGACGCTTTACGAGCATATCCAGGCTGGTCACGAGTTGCCAATCCTGCCAGCGCGGAGTCCGGAAGACAACCGTCCACTTTTGCACGACATCATCGAATATATCAACACACTGCGTGAGAGTACGACAACTATACCAGAACAGGCACAGCCCCAGGTTGTGTTGCCGGAGACGATGCCTACTGTGTCTCTTTTGCAGTCACAGCTAGCAACGCCGCTACCTCTGGCTGTTGCCGTAAGTGTGCCTGATTTGGGCACTTTCGCAGCCACCTCAACGCAGCATAACTTTCCATTTATGGCGTACAACGCATCACAGATGAACTACGAGTGTCTAGAAAGCGAAGTGGACCAACAAGAGCTCTGGACATTGATGGATACAGATCCAGTCGAAGCTGCAAGATTGTACCAGAGCTTTTAGTGTTGCATAACAACGCAAGTGCATATGAATATACAGTAGTCTCGATGGGTACACGTACAGTAGATAGGCTCAAGCAGATAATATTTCATCGCTCTGTTCGTGGCTAGTCTACATATTATCAGAGGTTTCTATGCGTTACGTAGATGCGTCTATATTGTCCGAGCAGAAGCCACGGACTCAGCGTCCTCATGATCCAGATAACCATCCAGAGTGATTCCTGTAGGTTCGCTGTAAGCCTCGATGTCCTCAAAAGCTGTGCCATGAGATGAAGTATCGTCTAAATGCAGATCATCAGCATCGACCGAGTTCCTTGACCCACGCCGGTCCTCCGCAATCTGAACTTCTAATCGCTTGACATCATGGCCAGTGTCTAGGTTCACAATCTCTCTTGTGTGAATTTCCTCCGGCCCTGGACCATCTTCAATGGTAGCGCGAATATAACGGTTGATATCTGCAGTGGCTTCTCTGATCGCTCCGCCGGCGTCATGGAGCTGATCCCTCTGAAGATCCACGGAACGCTTCAGATTTTGGATGCGAGCATCTATTTCCTTCAGGCTAGGGCTCTCTTCCAGTACCCAAACAGCCAAGTCACTTTTTTGATGAGCATAGAAAGCTCCATCGTTTCCACCTGCACTCAACAACGTACTTGACACTTCTGCGCGGCACGCAGCAACCCTTAGCATCAAATTTGCTGTAAATAATAGTTAGTTTCGTTCAATTCCAGGAACCAGACTTGATACATACCCAAGACTATAACACAATTTTTGTCTAGAATGTCAGCAGGCGGCTCGGCGCTCAATGCTTCCAGTCGAAGCGGGCAATGGAGGAAAACGTCTTGGAGGAATTGCTCGTATTTTTCAGAACCCAGAACTTTCGCGATGTGAAGAAGTATCAGAAGTTGGGCAGTAGATAGCGTGTCTGGTCTTAAAGTTCGCACAAGAAAACCGAACGCTACAGTGTGGTGCACACGGGACGTAGAAGGGATCTTGTACCGTTGCACAGTATCAGCCATCTTGAGAAGCGTTTCCAGTGATATGTGAGCATTTGGGATAAAGCAGCCATGAGCCGACTGGCAGATTAGATGGAACGCCACGGGATCTTCATCTGGCAGCTCGATTCTCTCACGTGGCGACGCGTGTTGTGTGAAGAGCTTCTCGAACTCTGGTGATGTTTCTGACATGATTGAAGAGGAAACAAGAAATCGATGTTCTTTAACGAGAATTTCGATATCGCCATGCTCATGTGGATTCATGTTGCTATAAAATAAGTGTGTCAATATCACACAAGATATTTGAGCGATTTGTCTGAAGCTTGTAACAAAGCAGTTTATATACTCAGGTGATGGAGAGAGTTCATGTCAATCACGTGAGTCAGGAGTACTTACACGACAAGCAATTATTCGTCCAGATAAGTCTTCGAAAGGTCGCCAGCCTCTAGAGAATTGTGAAGTCGTCTGGCTATCCCGGATGCCATTGTATGCCATTCGCTCTAGGAGGTCTCGTGTGAGACGGGATTCTGACGCAGAGCTGTCGCTTTCCACTGCTGCATGAGAACTTTTCTTCGTCTAGCCATGTCTGTTGGATTTTTTATGGCATCTGCCGGTTGGTGGCGTTAATGCCGTCGATCTCAGCAACTACGCCGCTTGTACCAGCGTCAATCACACCAATGAAACAGCTTCCGACGTTCCGGTCACGCGTGTGATAGCAATCATTGACATTCTGGGCCTGCATCTTCCGCGCGGCCCGTAATGTTCCGGGCGTTTACATCCATTTAGATCAATCGTCGGCCTATAAACGCTTCGGGAGATGGTATGTGCCATGTACGTACTTGGAATGTTTGGGTGGCTCAATAATCACATCACCGTGCTATTCGGGCCGGTAGGAACAATATAGACGCTAAACCCAAATAGATACACCACAGCTTACGATCTGTGGAGGTCAAGCCACAATCCCTCGCATAACTAGCTAAACATTGTATTGTATGTTATACTTCATCGGCACAGCAAACAACAACAGGTGATGATGAAATCTTGTTCTCTTGGCTTCTATCTGAGACACATCTTACCCGATTTTGTGATAGTTGCGTCTGTATCAGTTATGGTCACATCCTTTAGTTCCTCCCTCAGTTGCGATACTCGGGTAGAGCTGATTCCACAATTATCACTAGGGATACGAATTATTGGCGCTGACGTTAGAGCCTTGTGGAGGAACGGTACAGACGGTGCTGTATCCTCAGCTGAAGGAATCTCTAGCGCGGTAGGGAAAAAGGTTAGCAACGGGTCAAATGCTCTGCGAAGCAAGCGATGGTATACTACAATTAGTCCTGTGGTAAACAACATAACGCATGCTTGCCCGATGCACCGAGCGTTGCCTTGCGAGTCACGTACGAGAAGGAATAGTGCTAACAGACAGGCTTGCATAAGGTACAAACCTACTAGCAGATGCTTCAATGCTTTGGGATAGAAGAGGCCTCCGTGGTCCTGTTGAGTGATAAGTATACTTGGGCTGGAGTAAACGATCCAGAACAAACTAATGATGATAACCTGAAACGGGATGATAATTGGTGAGATGATAGCGTAGAGAATGCCTGTCTTTCTCAGCGTAAGCTATACTCATGTAATATTTGTAATGTAAACGCCTACCAATGCAGGAAAGATTTGTGAAGGTGGGTACGAAGGTACCCCATTGGATTTCTTCACCCTTTCTCCGTATCATCATCTGTGTGACTGACTTGTCCAAAATTGGGCTAAGAAATAATTTCCCAAATAAACGATCTACCCTTAACAAAGAGTTGGCGCTGATCGATAGCCCCTGCAAAACGATATACGAAATGAAGTAGTTGCTGGCTTTTGGCAGGTTTTTAGCCAAGGTTGCAGGTAGCGGAGCTCCACCAGCTATTTCGTTTGCAATAGCAGTCAGTCCCGCAGATAACGATACCACAAGCGTGACCTGAATAAAAAGGAAATAGAAGTAATAATCTTGGATCTTTAAGTCAACGTGGCTTCTGATTGGGATACCCTGTTTTCGAACAAGGTAGTCTAGTACGGTAACAAATGTTTTCATTAGTATGGCCACCAGGATGGGTGGTAGCACACCTTGTAACAGGCCTAATAGGGATTCTGGGAGTTCGCTGATCCAGCCCAGCCATGACACAGCCTGGCTCATGTAGATGATCTGGGAGAGGAGCCCTGCCAGAGCTACTGGCACAACGCAGGCAGTTGCGGTTACTCCAATAAGCACATTTGAAAGTACAGTGCGTACAGTCCTGTTACTCCAACTGATGTTGATATTGCTCCATATCACATCATCAACTGATAAAGGTAATGTTCGAGGGGTCATGTAACCCGAGTTTGTGTGGATTACCGTTTGACATACGATCTGGGCCGCAATCGGACTGGAAAACGTAATGAATGCTGACCGCAACAACGGAAACTCGTCTCTTTTTGTACGATAGGCCTGCATCTTCTCACCGGTTTTACGAAGTTCTTCCCGATAGAACATTGTAGTGTCGACCTTTTCGTGTCCCAGCCAGGTAAGGATATTCATGACATTCCGCAGTTGGTAGCACATGCGCCTGCTCACTTTGGGAAAACTTGACCACTTAGATCTCTTCTCTACACCAGCTCTACAGGCCTTCCTCATATTAGCGGTCTCTGCCGTCTCGAGGGCTTCAGCCAAGCGTTTCCGCTTAGCTGCTAGCTTGGAGATCGCGCTATAGTCACGATTGAAATAGATTGTAGTGATATCTGCAGGAAAGACCTGCAGCTGAGATGCAAGAGTCTTTTCGGACATCCAGTTTTCTGGTATAGAGTCGATCAGCACTGTGCGTAATGTGATATTTGGCGAGCGTTGTCGAGCTGCAACGTAAAAGGCAAGCTCGTTCCAGATAATCCAGCAGACATATGCCGTAAATAGTAAACTTAGTACGAGATGAACCCAGTAACGGTCAGCTTGATCAAGGCCAACATTTGACCATCCTAGTGTATCGAGCCCACTAACTCCGCTTTCAGCATTCTTTCCATTGGTGTAATTTAGCGAAACAAGAATAGGCGTGATAAGAATTGAAGCCGGAATGAATATTAGAAGCAGAGACCGCAGGTACCGGCGGAAGAAGTATCTATCGAAGTGCTTAATTTCGCAGTCAAATCGGAGAATATCGGTTGTGATGTGTTCTTTCCAGCTTGTAATAGTGTTCCTTGTATATGAAGGAGCGTTGTTACTGTCTCAATTAGCGTGGTGGCAGAGAGGAGGTGACCAGCATACTAGATATCGGGGAAGCGTGTGCGGATTGTGAGGAACAGGATGACTTCTAGTAGGAACATGATTACAGAGAGGGAGATGGAAGCTATGAATGAGCTTAAAGAGGCACCATAGAGTTGCTTAGCTTTTGAAAATGATCTCTCAAATGTGTCGTCCATAGTTCTGGTCTAGGTTAATGTTCTGTCCCTATGCTACCAAGTCTCAAATAGAACGGATTGATCTTGAGCGGCGAAGGCTTCTTTGACTTACGTCTCTCTTGTACACTGATCCAGGAAAGGGCTAGCGTGGAAAGCACGAGGTCTTTGAACTCTGGTGCTTTCCACGCTAGGCCAGATTGATCCTGAGCAGCGAAGGCTTCTTTGACTTACGTCTCGCTTGTACATTGATCCAGAAAAGGGCTAGCGTGGAAAGCACCAGAGTTCAAAGACCTCGTGCTTTCCACGCTAGGCCAGATTGATACTAAGCGGTGAAGGCTTCTTTGACTTATATCTCTCTTGTAAACTGATCCAGGAAAGGGCTAGCGTGGAAAGCACAAGGTCTTTGAACTCTGGTGCTTTCCACGCTAGGTCAGATAGGGTTGTACCTAGTATGATGTGGCGGCCACCTGCCAAGAAGCAAGCGCATCCGGTACGGACCGAACTGGCCCGGCGGCGGAAGACAGGCTATAGTGTTTGTGCCGGAAGCTCTACGTAATAGACTGTGTTTACTCTGGTATTATATTTAATTGCACGACTCTAGCTGCTAAGTCTACGTAAAACATCTGCATATTCAACTTTTCAGCATGGTTGATCGGAACAGATCTTTATCTTCAGCACTAGACTTGATCAAGGTGGGTACATGCTATTCAAAAGAACCTCAAAACTGAAGTTTCTAACTGATGAAAGCGTTTTGTAGAGAACTGGTTGCAAGCTAGTAATGCATTTGATCGCGATGACCTTGCAGCTTTAGTAGATGCGCTAGACTGCTTAAAGAAGGACGCTCAGCAGAAATTGTCCATGAAAGAAGCCACCAAAGCAGGCATACAATCCAATAAACGGCTTGTAAGCACAGGCGGCGCTAACCAAGGGGTGCGGAGGTCTTCCCGTCGCATTGCATCCGCTCCTCGGCTTGCTTCAGCAGCTTCACTTTTCGTCAATGAACACGAGGCAGAGTCTGAGTCTAGTGACGAAGACAATGGAGCATCTCCAGAAACATCTGCCGAAACAAGCTCCGTTGAACATGCCACGATGGTTGCAGCTGTGGGAACCTCGTTTGAGAATGCGTCTTCTTTAGGCGAAAGTCCGATACCAGACCTTCATAGGGCCGAGCTAGTGGAAGCGGGACACACTTTTGAGCCAGGAACATCACCTTCTATGCTCTGTGCAGCAGCCGTCGTCAATCACCAATATGAGCACACAGCTTCTCAATCAGCGCCAGCGCTCAGTCTATCTAATGCACAACCATATCAATCTCCCTTTAACACAACTTACGGGGTGGTAGAAGGATTGAGTCACGGCCAACAACAGGCTGGGATCGAATCTCCACCTCGTGCTTCTTCCAATGGGCTACATCAAGGCCTGGCAGAGCAAGACGCGTCGATCTCGCAGGCACGTGAAATGCATCTCCAAGTTGGCGACGAAGAGGAACTTGGAATGCACGATGCAGCCAGTCCACAATTCTTCAATGATGCGTTTGAAGACTTGTTTGGAAGCTCCTTACAGAATGAGTCGGAGATGAACTTTACAGACACTTCGGTGGGCTACATTGACGTCGGAGAGGCTGCAGTGGGCTACATGGACGTCGAAGAGGCTGCAGTGGGCTACATGGACGTCGAAGAGGCTATAGTAGACTGCCAGGAGGAACATGCGGCTGACCGGCATCACACACAAAGCTTCGCTCAGGATCCGATATTTCAAAGCTATCTGGATTTTGCCTGTCGCTTAAACTTCCAACTTCCACACGAAACGCCAGAACATACAGACCAGGTAGAAGTTCGAGAACTCCTTTCGCCTCTGGTAGAAGGGACACCCCTTACATCAAAGCTCCTCCACGGCTTGATCTACTTATTGGTTCCCGGTCCGCTTCGTGTACTAGAACTTGACTCCGGAGTATGTGATGGGGAACTTTTACCAAATGAGAGCTTAGTTGACAACTTTGCATTAATTTTCTCTCAAAGCACGAATGGTCTCTGCCTCCTAGTGTTAGGAGATGCCGAGAAAAAGACATTGTTGGTTCTTAGCAGCCGCCCAGCGAACCTGCCAGCCATGAATACTTTACATCCTAAGATTTCTGAATGGAGGACAAAGCACATTGACGTACGTAACACTCTCGTACTCACCTTTGTATCAGCTAACGTTTTAAAGCCTTATGAAGTTGCGCCATATGTAGAAAGCAGCCTTCTTTCCGTTTGGATAGCAGAGGCTTACTTTTGTCAACGGCCGCTTACGAATGTTCCATCCTCACGTTGTCTGCGCTTACGGTTTCTAGGAGAGCTTTTAGCGCCTTCTCAGCGGGACTTCATACTTGGGAAATGGGGCATCTCTAGCAAACTAGCAGCCTCTCAGCAAGTTGACACTAGATCAGTTATGGCGCATACAGAGATACAAGCACAAGAGAACGATATTTTCGTAGCCAATCTCGAAGGCTTTGATTCCGACGCGCTGCATAAAGTTCTCTGTCAGCGACCTGCTGAGATCCCCCGTGGGCGTTGTCTAAGAATCCTACAATGTGTACACGAGATAGGTTGTCCCTACATTCTCGAATCCCTGAAACTAGCTTTTACCCAAAAACACGAGGGTCATTCACAGGAAGCCGTACAGCAACCTATCGTTGAGAAGCTTTTTCACATTCACCTTTATTTGGATCGTCAGGAGACTCAGAACCACCTTCTCGTTGCCAGGAGTCGATATGTAAAATATTGTTACTTCGAAACATATCTTCTAGCTGTTGAAGCACTTCGTAAAGAGAAGCGCGATGGCACCCGAGAAAACAAGAAGATATCAGCTCTGAAAAAAACGACTAGCTTCAAGCTAGGCCTCTGTAATGAACTACCGCCCACGCCACATAGTGACGAGATTCATCGTATATACGAAGATTTCAGCCCCGTAGAAAAGAAACGAAGGGCTGAGGATATGGTTAAAAACGAGATTTCTAAGAAGGTAGCGAAGGTTTACAGAGTCGAGGAGAAGTGCATTCGACGTGATATCAATAGGTACATTAGGGAAGGGAGAGTGCTACACTACATCTTGCAAGGAGGAGTAGTTTTGAATCCAAGCTTACTTCTTCTGTTTCCAAGTTTTGGGACTAACCCGCCTTCTTTAAGTACAGCTAGGCTTGGAATTGAGCTAAAAGAGGCTGAGGAAAAGAGTCTGAACAAACCTATCGAGGTAAAAGAGTACGTGACAACTTTCTCTATGAGCAGATAACTATTAACAGCAGCAAATAGCATCGAGAGATTGACAAAAGCTGAGGCAATTTGGTTCGGTAAAGTTCTACAGGCTAGGCCAGGGCTACTAGAGGTGGTACCAAAAACAATCCTAGATCTAATTTCTGATAGCCCTACCGAAGCTCTGGATCTTCACGAGCTAGATGCGAATCGTTTCAGAGATAGGCCTCTTAGTTTCTTTGTAGGATAGAATGTAAGATTTATACCCATTGGGATTAGCTTATCGTCTTGGTGGAGCCTGCTAAGAGAACCGAATGTATCAGCCGAGTTTTTCTCTCTCTATATAACCCTCTATTTCTCTGTCAAACTCCGACATTCACATTTTCCATACATTTCTCTCATACATATCTTCCAATTATTTGTTCATTCTAGCTACCGAGCTGTCACGAAACATGACTCAGGTTTCGAAGATGAAACCCGATTCTGTCAGCCGTGAGGCTAACCAGGACATGTGGTCTTGCTTGGGTGCTATAAAAATCAACCAGGCGAACTTGCTTGTGTTCTGGGAAAGCTCGTGGCATTCGGCACCAGAATACCATGCACTTAGTGCAAGTGGACACAAAGGATGGCTTGTTCATGCCCGAAGCGATGACATGCTACTCATTGCTTGGGAGCCTACTATCGAAAAGAGATCGTCTCAACGCTCGCCTCTCAGTCTTCTGTACGAACCTGCCGTGGAAATTCGAAAGAACCGACCTGGCCTTCTCGGATTCGTTGCGACCAAAACTATACTTGACGCTTCAAGGTCAGGGAAACGCCATCTTGCTTTCTTAGCCTATTGGAGGGTCACCCCTACAACGAAGGAGCACTTTTTGCATCTTGAAAAAACATTTTCCACCCACAGAGGTCATATTGTATACGAAGAGGGTGACAGAGTTTGGGTCCAATGGGAACCTACATGGGTACTCTACAAAGATCTAGACGGGAAAAAGCAAACGCAGCTCCTACGGTTGTCTCGTGATCCTGAAAAACTGCTACGTTACTTCCACAAAGCAGTGGTTGCTTATTCTACACTCCCCATGGTTGAGAAGCGGATCAGATAGAAGGCTATTTATGAAATAGAGCTATGTCTTGTTGCCATTCATGGATCTTAATCTCTACTTCAAATAAAACTCGATAAACACTGACACTTCTATGCAGCCTGAGTTCATCAACACTGTAAAGGACCTTATCCTCTGCACACTTAATGACTACGCTTACTCTACTATGTAAAAGGACATGGCCTAAGAGATTCATGGTTTTTATCATCTTTTCTCATAGTTTGTTAAGCTCATGAAATTAGTCTTCAAATGTTTTGGTAGATACAATTTGCAGGAAAAGCTCTTATTCAAGCTTCTGGCTCTGTATATAGGTTTTCTACTATCAAGGTTTGCATCTAGGCTATGAAAGCCAAAAAAAAGTGCGGTCAATACGTTGTGAAAGAGATGACTAGGATCGAATGCTTTAACGATCTTTTATTCAACGATAAGATTTCTCGTCGATCTACTACACATGAGAATAATATGTTCCCATTATTCTTCAGAAGGCCTCTATTCAGAACATCGTATGGCTGGCGAAACCACTGATCCAAGCAACATCTTGCGCAAGAAATCCCCAGTGATCGTGAGTGGGGACAAAACATCGGGTAGCTCGATGTAGTTACAGAAGCCTCTATCGCTATTGTCGCGATAGGTCAGCTTGCGCCAGGTGTTGCCAGCGCCAGTGTTGGGCAGACTGACAAAGCAAATGCCATGGGAATCCATCCTTTGCGAGTTCTTACTCTTTCTGCTTCTGCAGATTGCCTTGTGAACCCCGACGCTTGCCTCTGACAGAAGATCTATATGAGTTTGCGGTACCGTGCCCTTGACTACAATGATGTCGATCTTTGAGCCAAGTCCACTCCCCGAAGATTGTTTGGCGTCTGTGAATACCTGAAGTGCAACATTGGTCAACCCAATACCAGTTCCAGCATCGTATGACGTTTTCATTAGGTTTTCGTAGTTATGGACCGCGAAACTAAGGGGAACAGGTTCCATATATCGTGGAAGTAGGTCTCTAGCTTTCAGATTTATCTTTTCCTTTAAAGCCTGGCTGGAAGATTCATCCACTAAATTGTAACTGCTATAGGCGTCCTCAATCGTCTTAGTCATCTCTTCAGTGGTACTTCTTCTGTCGTAGCCCGCATGCAGCTCTTGTAGGAAGGTCTTGTTATCTTGGAAGCAGACGTCGTCCTCAGCCCGAACTATGTTGAACCGGTAGCCTTCAGGCGTTTTTCGAAAGGCACTCCGCCAGTCGGAATTCTCATGTTGTAAGCTACCGGCTTGGATTAGGTATTCAATCCACAATTGAATGCCTTGATGCAGTGTCTCAATCCTGGTGAGCTTCAACAAGTTCTCCACATCTCCGGTCGGATACCGGAGTGGCCGATTTGGAAAAACTACAGTAGCACTTCTCGGCTTGACGCGGTCGAAGATGGATTTCAAGACAATCAAAAGGTCGTATTGCAATTTCCAGTAGTCCGGCATATCCTCATGTAAGTAAACCTTGAAGCTTCTTTCAGTCACTTGTGCCTGAAATTCCCCATTGTTAATCAAGGTTGACAGGAAATCGTTTGTCTGCTTCTGTGCTGTGGCTGAAAGCTGAACATGGGATGGCCCGCGAACAGTAGGTCCCTCTTCTATAATATGAACTTTAGAGCTAAAGCACCCCATGCTTAGGAATGATGGAATATGAAGCTGATGTTTTTGCAAGAGGAGTGCGGCCGCTTATGCATTTTCAACTATCATACGGCCCACAGGAGTCACACCCGTTACGTACTAGCTAAACCATGCATGACTTCCTTTACTATATAAAGCAGCATAAAATTTCTGTTTTCGCATGCAACTACATTCCGAAAGCTCCTTTCCTCCATTTCCAAACGTCTGGAATGTACCTCAAATCTGCTTGGGCTTTGATCCCTATAGGATTAGTGCGTCCGCATGTCTTTGTGGGCGATCCTGCTCCATTCCAATGGGACCTTCAAGTGACAAAGCTCATTATGCCAATGAATGGTGATAAAAACTACCAGGGTCCCGAATGGGGTCAGCAACCCTTCCCTTGCAAAGGCCATCATAGAGACGGAACTCGTAAAGAGACTTATACAACTACAACTTGGTATACTGGAAGTAGGGTGACGTTCCAGTGTGTCAGCTTCAACGGAAATACTCTAAGAGGATGACTTACAGTGTATCTATAGGATCTACGACTCTACCAATACAACTGGCGCTAGCATGCATGATCCGGGTGCAGCTCATTCGGGGGGCTCTTGCCAGGTATCATTCTCCTACGATAACGGAGAAACTTGGATTGTCGTTCAGAGCTGGGAGGGAAACTGCTTGCGCGTACGTAAGGGTCAAGAAGGGCAAATTACGAACTCCTATGACACTGACCAAAGCTACTCTTTTATCATTCCTACTTCCTTGCCCGGAGCAGACATGGTTATTTTTGCATGGTAGGTCAGATAATACCATTATAACGCACTGCTGACTCAACAGGACTTGGCTGAATTCATCTGGTAACCGAGAGTTCTATATGTCATGCTCACCTGTTCGGTTGATAGCAGCAAGATCCCCGACGAAGATTCCATCTGGCTATCATATGTTTATTGCCAACCTCCAGGAAACCCCAGAAACACCAGACTCACAGCATCCAGTGTGGTCTCGGTGCTTTGTTCCGCAAAATGTGTGGGTTCGCTACCCCCAACGGTACAAAGGCATCAATCCACCAATCGTAGCCGATACACTTCCAAATAACAGCCAAATCCGCCATTTAGAGCTTGGAGACGATGGGGGATTGTGCGGCTCAGACAATAAAGAAAGGGTCAAAGCTCTTGCACTTCAATCTAGTTGAAGCATCTTTAAAGTTGCGCTACTCGAGCATGTGCAAGTTTGCTTCGAGTATGGAAAAATACAATTTTCATTTATATAACCATTTCATTTAGATTGTTCATAGTTCTTCACTCTATGCAGATGACTTCTCTGTTCTCTTCGTGAAATGCGTTCATTGCTACACCGTCAAATAAGGTGTTGAAATAGGTGCAGTTTGCCATATTGTGTCAGCGCTATATTTTCTATCTTTGAAGCCTCTTTTATCTGTTCTAGTTAGCTTATACCGTGGTGTTACATCCAAAATTGACGCCACATTTATCCATGACTGCATCATAGGTATAAGAACAGGATTCCCTACTACTGACCAAAAGTTATCTTGCACGCATCATAAGCGCTGGAACATTTCCAGCTCCAACAAGCCCCTATTCTTGGGCTTTTCTACCGGTTTCATGGGGCATAATACCAAGCAAAGTCTTTGTTCTCTGTGCGGTAAGCGCCGATCTAGTCGCGCCCAACACGCTCAAGATGTTCAAGTCTGTTCAAGAAAGACATGCGCCAAGACTCAACGCCTTCTAGAGAGAGCTCTAAGAGACAGCAGCAGCCTAGTTATCAAGGTGTATCACTACTACCATGTTAGTTATATGAACAAGGATGCGTCCAATTGTGTACACTATAATAGTTGTGGTCTTCATGCCAAGGAAGCTCCCGATATCGAAGAGCTCATCGAACTGCCCGAGAATATTGCAAGACCGCGGCCCAACGCACACCGGTACTAGAACCTTTAGGTGTAACGTCCATCCCTGAGTGCTGGGACACCCGCCGTGCTGGGACAAATGAGGGGTACTTTGACTTTCAGCACTTCGCTTTCTGCGCGCACGCTAAAAATCTCGAGAAAACTATGATAGTCGTACACTAGAGCTATCTATTAACCCATTTTAACACAGCTAACTAAAAATTACATTGCTATTGCTGCTCTTCCTGCGTAAGTTACAGCAGACTATCCTTCCGTGTATAATAGCATTGCTTTACTACAGCGCTATATAGAAGCTTGTAGAGCCTAAAAAACTCTAGAAGATTACAGCTATGTCTGAAAGACCTTGCAATTACGCAGTAAGCTACGTTTAGCCTTGTAGCGCCTGCAATGCCCGTGTTTATGCAAAATCGCGGTCGTGATCGGTACCTCGGTTCGCGCTAAGCGGCTCTGCACATCTTATATAATCACCGTTGCGTAATGTATCGCTAGCGGCTTTTAGGGCTGTGGCGCAGCACTAGTGGGCGGTCTAGACATGAACTCGAACGCGGACGTCGCTCTTGAGAGAAATTGTTAATAACAAGACCTCTACTACTTAGACAGCGATTGTTTGCTCTAAAATAGAGAATCTACACTAGTTATACTTTGTATTAAAGCGAATCTGTATAACTATAGTACTAGAGAATCCTAAGCAGAACCACACGACCAGATGCAAGCCCTAGACAAGCTCTGTCCTCGCGTACAGTGGTTAAGTTTGATCGATACTCTGGAGGAAGCCATAAGTAACGTTGTTGGTTGCGTAATATCCACTGATTCTGCACTAGAATGTACGAGGACTGCTGCGTCGGCCTCAAGAGCGATGTACCAACAGAGGCTTGAGGCAAAGGAATATCGCCTTGGTTTGTGTGTAGTACCTGGCCATTTGGTGAGAAATTGATATAAGTGATGTACCGAGAAAAGCTTTTAAGCGTGCTGCAACACGTCCCTGTCGCCGCCTCCCACAGCCGTACTGTCTTGTCCCAAGATGCTGACGCGACCAGCTGCCCGTCTGGCGAGAAGGCTACCGCGGTGACATAGTCGGAATGGCCCTCGAGCGTGCTGCGACACGTCCCTGTCGCCGCCTCCCACAGCCGTACTGTGTTGTCTTCAGATGCTGACGCGACCAGCTGCCCGTCTTGCGAGAAGGCTACCGCGGTGACATAGGAGGAATGGCCCTCGAGCGTGCTGCGACACGTCCCTGTCGCCGCCTCCCACAGCCGTACTGTCTTGTCTTCAGATGCTGACGCGACTAGCTGCCCGTCTGGCGAGAAGGCTACCGCCCTGACATAGGAGGAATGGCCCTCGAGCGTGCTGCGACACGTCCCTGTCGCCGCCTCCCACAGCCGTACTGTCTTGT